CAAGATGTAAAGCACAGCGAAGTTCTTCAGAACTACATGTCTGAATTTGCTCTGCTTTTAATGGTCAGAAAAGAAATGGGTACAAGGACTCCAGGGAATCACCCTGGAACTCCAGGGGGTACCTGCCAGCTTAGGAAGCAGTGCTGCAGGCACAGAAGCCAGTTCCTAAGAGAACATTTCAACTCCCCCCCATAAGTGCAGGCACCATGCCAGCTAGCTGGGAATGGAGCTGGCCCACCAGTCTCAGGTCACTGAGCAGCCCTGGGTCAGGAGTAGAAACAGACAGGAGCACAGCTGCAGGGCATGAACACTTGAAGGAGAACCTCTGCACCAGGTTCACAGAAACGGGTTTGAGGGGAGAGAGAAGAAAAGTAATCCTCTGTGAGGAATTAGAACATATCACACGATCAGCTACTCCTTTGCTCTTAATAGCAAAGCAGGTGCTCAGGTTTGGTTTTAATAAAAGCATCCTTGCCTTTGAGTGGGTCCACATTTATATCCATTTGCAAAGGTGATATATTCTGTTGGTTTTGTCATTTGGACTTGAACCTACAAAGCTCATGCCAGAGACAAAAAGCAACAGCTCTGATTAAGAAAAGTCAATCTAGTGCCACCCTCTGAAGCCTCTCACTTCCCGATTTTCCTAACGAGGTATTTTTAAAGAAATACCTGAGGTAACACAAAAAAGAATGTGTTATATGGGATGAAGCAGCCTGCAGCCCCACCTGCTGACCATGGAGTGTGGGTCTCACCAAGCAGGGGAGCAACAGACACAGTGAAGGAATCTGGAGTCAGACCCACCAATTCCCAAAGGATTAAGAAAAGTTAACCCTTTATCTAATGCATACCTAAGGAAATTAGTGCCAAAAAGATAACTTTCTGAAACATATTTCTCTATATACAAATCAACAAAATATGCTGGCTCATACTTATACAATTGAGAAAAGAGAAAATGAAAATAATTCGATTTATATTCTGCTTTCTTTCAAAAGTTCACTTTTTCTCACAGTTACAGAGAAAGTGTCACTGGACAAGGTATCAACCTGGGGTTGACATCTGTATACAAGGTATACAGATACCTGTATACAAGGTATCAGTCTGTTCCCCCAAAAAAAGCAATGAGTCAAGAAAATTTATGGCAGCAGGTGTCTCGTCCAAAGTCATCAGGTTTTTTGTTTTCTTTTTTTTTAACTTCTTATTTACCAGCCTGTGGGAATAGTAAAATTCTTGCAAAATGTTGTCCTTGATTCCTATCTTGTCTCTGTTCTGGGGCCCTGTCTATTTCAAAAGCAAGCATATAACCTATCTTAGGAGATCCAAAAAGGAAACACGACTCCAAGTCCACTTTAAGCCACTTCTGATCCCACCAGAAAAAAACCTAAGAAACTGTATCACAGACCCACATTACCAAATAAGAATCCCTTTATAACTATAGTTCTCAAAAGTATGTCTCCAATAAACAAACATTTCATGCATTCACCAGTTTTAAAAAGATACCATAAATATTTTAAACGACACCAATATTCCCTATATTTCACAATCATAGGGAGATAGATGACCACAAATTGTTGTTAAAACACCTTTCAAAGCTAAACATGAACTTCCATCAATTCCCAGTAATGTAAATATATTCCTGGCTATTTTTGCACAAAACAAAAATATAATATTTCAGATAAATCAAATAAGGCAAAATATAGTATGTGACTAAACGTTCCTTAAATAAAATTTAGACACTACTCCAGAAGAACACTTAAATTCACCTCAAACCAGGTAAACTTCAGGAAACAAACTCATCTCTTGTACCTCAGTTTACCTTTCAGAACCTGGATGGACTGTGAGGATGGAACTAGTTGAGTATATCTTCACTCCTCACTGTGCTTGTCTCACACCACAGACTCAATACAAGCAGCTGCTACAATTCAAGTCTGCCCCTTCCAGACACTGGCCAAGAGCCAGTCCTCCCTGGATGTCCGCAGGCCTTTTACCTTCCATCCAAGCTGCATACAAAGTTTAAGTCCCAGTTACATTCTTTCTCCTAGAGGCACATCACAAGTACAGATGCCCTGCTCTCTAGGCACAAAACTCCCTTCTGAACCTAATCCTCACATCTCTGATGAGATTTTGCTCATCCAGTAATTATGGAGCAGAGCCAGTTTAGTGAGCAGACTAGGCTGCTCCAGTCCAGTGTAAGTTGGGAAGACTATTGTGCCAGAGGCAGTGAGTCCTTTAGTACTGGAGGGTAAAGTCAAATAGGGGAAGCCCACAGGAAGCACTCAGCAGTCAAATCTATAAACAACAGCATCCGTGAAAGTTAATGACAACAAAGTGAAAAAGTCCTTAAGTCTGTACTAATTCTGAACTATATTAATGAAGAAAATCCCAGCCAATGAACTGATTCTAGCAAGTCGCTGACCACGTCAGACCTACTGAATGAAAGGTATCTAGGGAACAAGATTTTCACCTGTCTCAAAGTGTTCCTTCACTTGTTTCAAAGTGCAACTTATATCTTGCAACAGGGAAGCCTGGAGACACCAGCTGGGGGCCAGTTCAGCACCCCCAATGGTGGGATGCAATGTATACCACAGGGGCTGTGAAGGACTTCTGGCAAAAAGGAAACTACAAGAAAAAACGCAGAGTATGGGGTATTCGAAAAAAACTGTCTTGGATTCTTCACAAAAAAACTGAACATCGCGAAAAATAACAAAAAAATAGGTGGAGGACTATCCTAGATTAAAAGACAGGAAGAACACAGAATCTAAATGCAGTGAATGAATTCTGATTAAATCCTAAACAAAAGACCCAAAGACACTTTGAGGGACAACAGGGATAACAATGAATATAGGTTGGGTATCAGACATTACAGAATCCTTCATTCAAGTGCTTAGGCGGATAATGGTACCGGAGTTAGCAGAGGGTAGGGAAACAGGAAGAAAGGTGTGGGGCTCCCGGGTTTGCAGTGTTTGTTTGGGCTCCACTCAGTTCCCGCTGCCCTGTGCTTAAATAACACCGCACTGCACAAATTACTGACTTCAGGATTTTCTGTAATGGGGCCTTGTTATGGAAAGAAAATGCCTCCCTTGAGTCAAGATGAAATCATTCCACATACTGAAGCTCTCAGAGCCAGTCATACACTAAGATCCCACTGTGTGCTGCTATTTACTGCTCACTGCAAACAGCTCAGCAAGCCTCAAACGACACCAACTTTTTTCCCCAACTCAATGTCTTAGAAAACTGTGCCCTAGTTTTAGATACTGCACCAAAGTTACTGGCCAGTTTGAGGATGCAGATGTTGACTAGAGAAAATGACTTACGCTGCTTTCAGGCTCTGCTCTTAACTATAGGAAAGAACTTGGTGCCTCTTCCTCTTGGAGTGAGTATTGATGGAAGACTGCTCCATCATCCAAAACTCACCTGAACCAGTTCTTTCTTGAGACAGACTATATTGAGACAAGTTGTCACCAGCAGAAGAAATTATGACCTTTATTAACAAAGGTGAATTAACCAAGAGCACACTTGTTGTTTATCCTAAAATTTTCTGTCTAGGTATTCTCTAAATGAGCTTATAACTCGTGCCTTCATTACCTGCATCTTCTGTAACCAGCAGGCCTAGATGGTGAAAATGCATAATAGTTCAGGGGTATAGGGAAATTGGAGAGAGGCTGAATCTAAGTTATACCTATTTAGGGCCTAATGATACCTTTAGAGACCTCAAGAGAAATCTTAGCCTCTCTTCATTTTCCACAGGGGCAAGGATCTTTTTACTAGTTTAGGATCCAGATTAATCCATTCAGGTATCTCCAGGCAGCCTCGTCAGAAACATCCCAGCCACATATACTAGCATTAATACAAGTGCTTCTTACTAGCTTTTGCTGCTTTCACCATGCGTCCTCAGTCTATTCTAACATCTTAAGTTATATCCTTTAATTTCCAACCTCTTAGGTCAGTTTCTTTAATAGGACAATGAAATTGGGATGAAGTCCTCCCTTCAAGTACTTCAGATGATAATTGTTTTGTCTTTGTAATAGCTTAATAAATCTAGGTTTTCTATTTTTAAAAAAATTGTCCTAGTTTTCAAAAAAATAAAGAACAGAACGTTTTACTAATTTTGAACATTAAATCTAAAATGTAGGATAAATGTCAAACACATAAAACTGCGTGGTGCCTCTTCCTCTGTGGAGTATTGATGGAAGACTTCTCCATCATCTAAAACTCACCTGAACCAGTTCTACTGCATGCTAGGAGGCAAAAGTATTCACTCATTAAAGTGTGTGTGAGCACTACCACATGCAAGTGCCTTTCTGGGCATTCAAGAGAAGGCAGTGTGTGGGGACTGTATGTCACAGTAGCAGAGGTCAGAACATGAAGAAAGTACAACTGGACAGAAGCCCTGCTCACAGGCTAGAGGGGCACAGTGGGAGAGGGGGAGGTCTGTGGCATGAGCAGGTGGTACGAGAGTCATAGCACTTATTAAGAAGGATCAGGCTGGGAGAACACGTTCATGGAAAGAAACAGATTTTTGTTAGACAAAGTTACGCCTGAGCTCTCCAACAGCCAGGCAGGCAGAAGGGGACATTACATTTAGAGGATCGGGGTGTGTCTGTCTCTTCTCCTGGAACAGACTCTGCAAACAACATGAAAACAATCCCAGTGAGATTATTTGTGAGTGGCTGTGAATAGCTCCATTCTAATCCTCTGTAAAGATGAGGCTCATGCCACCAACCCTGGACTATTTCTTAATTGTTCTCTGACCCTCTCTATCCCACTGCCCTACACTAATCCAATCCAATTTCTTGAGAAATCATCAAGGACTTCCTCTTAATTTCCTAAATTCTTTGAATTCTCCAAGATAGAGGTAAATGTTGAGAAAAAGAACGGCCATGATGAAAGATAGTGGAATTAGAAATTAATACTGAAAATTAAGATAAGAATTTTTAATACCAACCCACAGAACTTTTTTTCATGAACAGTGAAAAAAAAATCTCTAAACAACTGCAACTCACTCTGTGTGGCCCTGGAAAACATTCACGGAGTGGATGGAGGGGTCCCTGAAATCCCAAAGACGGAAAGTTGTGTCTCGGGAGGAGGTCACCACCAGCCTCTGAGTGGGGTGTGTGCAACAGTGTGTCAGCTCCTGGTCATGGCCTACAATGCAAGAGAACAAAAATGCAAGATCACCCAGCTGCAGATATACGGTCACATGACAATTTTTTAAACTGTATTGTCTTTTTATCGAGGTAACAATGGTATACAACACTATACAGACACAGAGGTACCACTTCAACAGTAAAACTTCTCAATAAACAGAAGAGTCAAAAAACAGTCTTTATGGGCTCCACTGCTAATATCCACTGTGAAAATAAACCTACAGAATCACTTAATAATAGCATATGGGGGTCACAGTGGGGCTCATTTTTACTCAGAAGCAAGAAGTCCTTTCCTTCATGCATTTAAAGGGAACAGGAAAATGTGAGCACAACCACTTTAAGACCTAACAGTTTGGAAGTCACACAAATCCCTTTAACAAATTAATTTTCATCTCTTCACTTTCAGAATAGCTTCTGATTACATAACATGTAAAATACAATCTTTAATACTCAATGAGGAAATGTATTTACTGACAAATTTGCAAAAACACCTATGGTGGGTAAATTGCTAAGATGGCTCAGAGACCCCTATGTCTGGTATACAACCTCTATGATGCTTTCCTTTGAGTTTGGGCAGAACCTGCCAATGTGATAACCTATCACTGTGGTAAATCATGATACATTTTAAGGTAAAATGGATTTTGCAATGTATTTAAGGTTCGTAAATCAGGTAGCACTGGGTTAATAAAAGGAAGACTGTTCTGGGTGCACCTGATAATTAGGTGGACCCTTTAAAAGAATCCAGCAGACACACTTCTGCTGGCCTGGAAGAAAGCAAACAGCCAGGTGGTGAAAGGCCTTTACAGGGAGCCACTAGGACAGCCTCTGGATGCTAACAGATATCCCTGCTAATAGCTAACAAGAAAGCCATGAGGAAATGACTCCTTCCAACAACAGTAAGTAAAAGGCTCCAAAACTTCAGATGAGCTCACAGGTCCAGACAACACTTTCACTTGACCTAATGACCCAGAGCAGAGAGCCACCAAGCATTCCCAAGGAATTCCTAATCCAGGGAAACCAGGAAGTTATAAATTCATGTTATTTTAAGATATTAAGTTTGTGAAATTTTGTTACAAAGTAACAGAAATACACCAACCATATTTCAAATATCTAGATACTACGTGCTACAATTAAATAAGATAATTTAATTACCAACAATTAGAAAGGATTTCTGAAAATTATAACCTGAAAGCCAAGATAACTAAAAACAAATCTGGACAAGAAATAATTTGCAAGATAAGATACAAATACATGATTATAAATGCAAAGTACCCAACTGGAAACAAACTTGACAGTACCTGTCAGAGAGTGAACAAGCTCTGATGTCTCCACATCATACAGATTCGCTGTTCTGTCCCATGAGGCTGTCACGGCCTGCTTCCCCCCAACCAGCCAGTCAGCTGCTATGACCACTCCCTGGTGGCTCTTAAGAGATGTCAGCGGCACCCGAATGGTAGGACAGTCACTGGACACATCACCATCTACGTCAGGCTCATCTTTATCAGAACACTCTACTTCATCCTCGCCACAGATCTGCTGCTGAAGGTAAAAGCAGAGAAATTCTCTGGGAATCTTATGTCTTTTCTAACACAGCTACATGATCAGACCTTTGTTATTCTAGGACTTAGTCATCATTATAACCAACACCAGCATTGTATCTGATGCTGGATACATGTTTATCATTTTTATGAGTATCCACTAAAATCCAGGACCAAATATAAGAAGTAAAAGATGAAGGCCACTGATATCAACCAAGGTATAGTAGTCTATTTCTACCAGCCAAAATGGCAAATGAGGTTTTTTTTGAGTTTTTGCCATTTATCAGTAGAAATGTAATTAAATTAAACCAATATAGTGGAAAGTCAGTAATTTATCACACTAAAAAACAGAATTCTCAGGAGCCTTTTAAAATATACTTAGAATTCTATAGCTATAAGTTTGCTTTATTTTGCTATAATATTGCTTCAATTTTTATCAAACACCAAGGATAAAACAAGAACATAATAGTCAACCTAGGCTTTAGCTCTTTAAGAAAATGTTTTATCATTCAACAAATACTTATCAGGGCCTTACCCAGAGCCAGGCCCTAGACATACAGCAGAGAAGGGAGCAGATGACCTATCTCTAACATACACAATTAAACTGTGTAGAGGCCATGTGATGAGAGCACTGGAATCAGAGACCAGCAAAGTCCTGCCTCACAGATCTTACAGACTAGCAAGACAGGTCACACACATACTATGCTACGTGGAGACACAGACACAAATGGCAAAATAGGGAATTTTGCCATTTGTATATAAAACACGGTATAGGAATATGTGTCATGTATACATAGTATAAGACTATAGATGACATAAGAGAAGGATATGTATTATATGTATACACATAATATAGGGGTGTGTGTCACATGTACACATATATTAAAGGGAAACATGTTAGGCAGTAGTAAGCAGGATGAGGGGTTGGATAGTTATGTGGGCCACTCTTTTTTACAAAATTATCAGGTGAACAGTCTGTGCTAAAGTAAATTTGAGCTGCTACATGAAGCAAACAAGAGAACAGGTATACAACTATTTAGGGAACAGCATTCCCAGCAGAAGGAACAGCATGTGCAAAGGCCCCAAGATCTACACAAAGAGCAAGGCTGCAGGAGTAGAAGTGGTAGAGGTAATTTCATGTCACCTGTGAGTAGTTCATGTAAAACATGACAAACCATGGACATTGAATTTCATTCTCTGTGTAATGGAGAACAGTTTTGAGCATGGAAGCGAATATGTAAATTACCTAAGGATCACAGTGCTGTATGAACATAACAAAAAGGGAAAAAACCGGTGTATGTAAATGAGTGGTCGAATATCCCCCCAAAATTTGTATGCTGAATATTCAGAAACAGTATGTAAAAGTGTGAGTTAAAATTTAGGATTAGAACTGCTAAGAAAAGCTGAGTTAAGACTGGCAGCAGGGCTGAAGAAATTAAGTTGTTTTCACTTGGAGAGTATCATTTACACTGGGAATGCAATCACAAAGGATGTGTTCATGCTCTACTAGGAACGAAACAGAAACACTCACCCCCCCACCCCATGGCAGTGTTCCTGCAGGGCCCAGTAATCATGTGATTCAGTGCACCTTGAGCCCAGAGGCGTTCCCCTTTGAGCCTAGGTTATGAGGCAGTTACTACCAAGTATGAAAAGTCCTTGTGTCCAATGCAAGCAAAATTACAAAAAGAAAATAAAATCAATTTAAAACTCTAAGTAAATTATTAAGTATTTTTCATGTAAGAACTATGCATGATTTTTCCCTGTGACAAACTGTTAATTTGAAAAAAATATCGAGGTTATCTCATTTTCTGAACTTTCTGAACATAATCCTCACCCTCATCTCTCTGCCCTGTCCCCCATCAGCATTCACTGCTTCTTCAATAAATGTATGCTAAATATGGCACAAATTCATATACAGCAGTATATCAATTAAAAAGGAACTAAAGCCCTCTTAGCTAAAGAAAATTCATTCTTACCCATCACTGGAATTTATTAAATGTTTAACCCATCTCCAAATAGCACAATGTTTAAAATGTTTTTAAGAGAGAAAAGTAAAAGAATATTCAAAGTCAGAAATACCAAAACTAGAAGATTACCATTATCCCTCCAACTATTACAGAAAAATCACAAACATAAACCTAACTTTCGCTTAGCTACATAAAAGCAAGGAACGCTCTGTCTGGGTTGTCATTTCTCCCTGCTTAAGCAGCGCAGGAAAGGGTTAATCATTTGTGACTACTATACAGCAGAGAGCTGCCCTGGACAAAAACTAGGAAGATCCTTTCTCTCAAATGGATAATATTCCTGGTTCTGAACACAGGGTGTTGGGCCAAAATGATGCAACTGTATTCAATAAGGCAAGACAACAGTAATTGAAGGGTTTTTGGTCTAAATACATTGATTCAGTGTTCTTAACATAAAACCTCTTTTGTTACCTATGTTAAAGCTTTTCCCACATAAAAATGCCATGCATGCCGCTGAATTACATGGCATATCTTACATGAAAGATAAACAAGTTGTCTAACATCAAATACATAAAATATTAAGAAGTATAATCTAATCATAAAAGAGGAAAAAAATGGTAAATTTTCAATACTCGTGGAAACAAAGGAAAAAGCAAATATATGCATATATAAATAAAGGTACTTCTTAGACACTGTCACAGTCTCTTTGGGCTACCAGAAGAAAACACCAAGACTGGGTGGCCACGGTCAAGGTACAGGCAGATTTGGATTCTGGTGAGGACTCTCTTCCTGGCTTGCACACAGCTACCTTCTCCTTATGTCCTTACATGGCCTTTCCTAGTGCCTGCGGGGAGACACACACAAGAGAGCTCTCTGGCGTCTCTTCTTGACCTGGACCCTTTAGAGGCCCCATCTCCAAGTAGAGTCACACTAGGGGGTGAGGGCTTCAATATATGAATTTGGGGTGGACACAAACATTCAGTCCATAACAGATATTATAAATTTATCCTAAAATTTGCAAACATCCAGAACCCTACCAACATACCCCATGTCGCGTTTTCAGGGTAAGTAAATGTGCTGCTTACACTAGTGTCAGCAATGGGCTGAGGTGTCGGCAGTTGAACCACATATCTCCAAATGTGAGCAGTCTGGTCTCCCGAAGCTGAATAGAGAAATAGGGGGGAAATTATCCAAAGAGCACACCATGTGTAAAAATGCTTCTTGCTAGGCTCTGGCTAAGCAACGTCAATCAGACTTTTGTAATTTAGTGTTCATTTAGTGAGATGAATCTATTTTCCTTAAAGAACTATTTCTGAAACTATATAACACTACTGAGAATAGAGTAGATGTACAAAAGTAAGAGAATGACCACTTATAAAAATAGCCCCTTTCATTTCAGAATATTAAGTAGTGATAATTCAAAAAAAATTTACAAATAAAATTTCCCTCCATAATCTGAGTGAAACCCAATTATATAATAACTTATGACTACAGTAGGTTCTGAGGTATATCACTTGAGTAACACAAAAATGTACGTTTTCATCCACACAAACCTCAATGACCAGGTGTTAGGCAATTTAATAGGAAAATATTCAGTACAGTTTAACAAAGATGTTCTCAAAGCCACTGTATAAAATTATGATAAGTCAAGTAAATACAGGTTAGGCAAACAGTCTAGACAGGAGCAAACATGCTGGCTCTGCAGATGGCCACGATCCAGGACTGCTATCCTTCTCATGTCTATATTTTGGGCACATACAGGGTTGAGAACTTGGCAGAATCAAAAGGGCTTCAGAGAACCAAGTTACAGTATATGGAGAATGGAGAACTGTCACAGTGCAAGCAGGGAAAGAGGCAATAATGAAGAATTTCACAAAAAGACTTCAAGAAGAACAGGAATCCATTTTAATCTCACAATAAAGTCAAGTTCATCTAAGTGGCAATTCACTGTTGATTAGTAATATATTTTTCTTTATTCATTTCTCACTTAAGCCATAAAATGTTTACCATGACTGTCCAACTTTTGTAAAAGGCTACTGATGCTACTGATAAGGAAACATTAGTTGTTTTAAGATTATCAATAATTTTGCTCAATAATGGAAAAGTCAACATACCAGTGAGAGCCAACTGCTCTGATGGATGAAATTTTATAGAATTTACTGCAAAATAAAAATATTACAAAAACAGGTTTATAAAAACAAGAAATTATATCAACATTATTATAGATACAGCATGTACTGTAAATTTTAAAACTGTAAGTCGGTGATTTTTGGTCACAACACTGCCCACACAGGGGTATAACTGAAAGGGTGGAGAGAGCTGCTACATTCCCTTCAGGTGTGCACCCCAGAAACATACAGCACCTTCACTAGCCATGAATACAGCCAAAGTACTGCTATATCTCCAAAATGGCACATAACTTTTGATAAGTAATGCACATTCATATTTCATGTCCAACAGTGTCACGTGTAGTCTTCTAGACAGTGTCAAATAACATGTAGACAACTCCTATTTGCATGCGATTGGAAAACTGAGCTTTTCCCATTAAGAAGCTCATATAGCTAGAGGCACACATTTGCTTCTTCGGCTGTGGGAATACACAAATGTCCTTCCTGACAGCCACATGAGCACACCTTTCCAACAGGAACTACAGTCAAGTTTATAACACAAGATTTTACCAAGCCCAAGCTGGAAACAGCACCATTCAGCATATGCTCACCTGAGCCCACATGGCCTGTGTACTTGACTAGGCACCGCCCTGTCTCAATGCTCCACAGCAAAGCAGTGTGATCTGGAAGACAAAAACCAAGAAAAGTGACTGCATCATCACCAATGTTATAGTTTTTTAAATAAAAGAGTAAGATGTATGTTTAAAAATGAGAAGTTACATTACCAGTAATACCTTGCACAACTCTAATTATACTACTCTGTAGTTTAATTGATCAAAGAAAGGATTTCCAAAGCGAGAGAAGTTGATGACTTGTCTGAGGTTATGGAAATATGGAGACCTGAGTTCCAAGTTCACTGCTGCACTGATTGTACCATGCTTGAAACTTAAATACAAAGGATGTTTATATCATGGGTTTATTTTGTGGAAATATTAAAACTTTCTATTTTATGTTTATCAGTAAAACATTCAGATGCAAATGGTGCAAATCCAGTTATATGTTATTTGAGATAATAAATACACTTTTGGACCTTTCCTCTTATGGGAAAATAGTAAAAAGAAAATTGGCATAACAATAAAAAAGCAGACAACAGAAAATCTGAAAAATATATGCCACTTAGTCCAAAGAGATTTCAGAACTATAAAAGGACCCTTTATTCTTTTTTTTTCCCATTATAATCTCCTGAGCTCATGTGTAAGCATCATTTCAACAAGACGAAGAGCTTTCTTCATTATTCTAACTAGGTGAACATTTTCTATTTCCACTTTAAAAGACAGAATCTAGTGAGCAATTAACTTCTCACAAGCTGGGAAAAGTCATTTTCAACAAGTGAGCACCTTGTATAATTTTAGCAATTCTTATCTGAAGGGGTATTAAGTGATGCACCTTAGATAACTCTCATAAAACATCTTTTCTTTAATAAGCAGGGGTCTCTGATTCGCCCACCCTCCCCGCTTTAGCCCCTGCAGTCAGTGACCCTGCAGGCAAAATTCCCACTATCAGCAGCTCCACTTCCACCCAATCCTGAGATAGAGTGAACCTTCAGGGATCAAAGACCATTTCCCTCCACTATACTTCAAGAGCACTTTCAAAGCAGATGTATACTTGGTTATGAATAAAAAGAAGAACACTAATCAAAAAATACTTACTATGGGCCTCCTGGTGGCAGAAAGGGTTAAGTCTCAGCACTATGAAGCTATTGCCAGACATTGCACCAAGAGTTCAATCCCCGGCCAGGGAGCTAACCCACATGGCACAGCAGACCTCTCCTGTCTTGCCTACTGCTCCCCTCAGTAGTGTATTTCAGTCAATCTGCTTGTTCTGCTCCCCACTCTGTCTCTGGTGAATCCTCTCACACACACCAACACCCCCGCACCTCTGGCCTACACCCCAGCTCTTGTATGCCTAAATAAAATAAATCTTAAAAAATAAAGTTAATATATTTAAAATGCATCCCTACTTTATGTTGACTCCGCTATTCAAACAGCAATTCCTTACCACAGCTACATCCCACAGAGCAGTATTCACCCCTCACAGCCTGCAGCAAGACAGGAGAACCAGGCCCATCAAGGTTGAGAACTTTTGATTTTTATGACTGCTCAGTCACATCTGCTTTCAGGGATCACTCTGCTACCTACACCTATAGGTCAGTGGTTTGCACCAGCTGCCACACAGTCATGCACACAAGCAGGGCTGGCTGTGCACTCACCTGCAGATGCCGTGCCCAACACCACAGGCTGTGTCCTGGCCACACTGACATCCCAGATGCCATCCCTGTGGCCAATGTACTCCTTCACAAGCTGGCACACAGCCCTCGATGTGGTGGTCTTGAAGCTGGAGACAATCTACAATTATGATGGGAAGGAGCATGTAGACAATTTATTGAGCAACTGTTTCTAAGTTTATAAAGGTAAAACAGAAAAAAGATGTTTTGTAAAACGCATAAATCATTGCTCAGAATATTTGAAACATTAAAACAGCAACACTCATCCAATTGGATATCACAAGCAGGAATGAAGGTCTTGCTAAGACCTCATAGGGTCTCACAGTTCTCCCACCCCACATAGCACACACATCCAAAGAAGGGAGCTTATTATGCATGACAAGTCACTCTCCCCCAAATCCAAACCACCAGACAAAATTTCAAAAATTAAAGAAAAAAAAAGTTAACTGGACATGAAAAAATGAGGAAGGTACCCCAAACCCTTTTAACACTAATTACTTTTATTATTGGAGGACTTTGATTTTTTTCTGTTTTTGGTAATTTATACCAACCAGACACTATCAGTAGGAAAACCCTCCATGGAAGGGAGGAATCAAAAGACGACACTTCTAACAGACAAGCAGTTTTGTCCAACAGTTTTTATTGAGCGCATGTTCAGTGCCAGCACTGTGCCTTGAGGTGTGAATGCAAAACACAGAGACAGTGGACCCTGGCCTCAGAAGCGCACAGTCTAATGGGGACAGAGCCAACAACCACACAGAGGCACACACGATGGGAAGGTATTATCTCATATGATACATGCAACAAACAGTTCTCACTGTCTCTCATAAGTAAAAATATAAAGTGCGTAAAGACATTAAACACAAAAAATACTTCAGTTCGGTTTTTAAGTTGTTCTCAGATACAAGAATGGCTTTTCAGTTTTTAAATAAATCAGAATAATGTAGATGAACCAGAATATTGAAACCATAAAATCAAGTGAAAAAGAAAAGCTGATGTTCTTATAGCTGTTTTAAACATTGATTTAGCAAAGCTCTGAAATGTATCTAAATTCATCCCTTATAAACACAGTAAAACATAATCCACTATTACATTAATTTGGTATAAGCATTCAAATTATTCCCCTGATACAGTGAAAGACTAAAACAAAATGCTTGATGAGGAGACAGACTTTTACCAGTAATGTAACAGGTTTAACTTGTTTTAAATTTTAAAGGAATTGTGAAAGGACTTGCTCAATCTCAAACCCATCATCAGCATCATCAGCATCATTTTTTCTTCTTGAAAGTTAATATCCTACTCATCCTAGCAAAGCTGTCCCTCCACCACATGAAAAGTGCTTTTGCTGGCAGAAGGTACCATTTAAATGTGAAGGAACAGAACATTAAGAAAGAATGATGTTAAAGAACATGCAAACTCCCCCACATATGTTGTAGTAAATTTCATTTTCCAAGTCTTCCACCACTTCTAAGACAACATTATGGTAAGAAATGAACCACTAGAGTCACATTACTCAACAACCCCATTCAAATGATAAGAACACACCGCCCAGAGACTCATACCAATAACATTTCCGGTGGAATCATCAAAGATAACAGGCAGTTTATGAATGTTATAACAAATTGTTTCATGTGTTGCTTCCAAATGCCCTTTACACTGACCATTTTAAGTGATATAACCTAAAATAGTTTAACAAAATCATAAATGGTTTTTTCCACAATGAAAGATATTTATCTTTATAAAAATATTTGGTGAAAATTTTCACCAGTTTCTTTAAACTTAGACCAGAGCTTAGACTGTCAACTCCTCCCTTCCAATGAAACATTAGAAATACATCATCAGTCATCCAAAAAGGAGAAAGACCTCTTCTAGGTTTTATTTTTAATAACCTTTGGTTGTCCCAGTATCTCACCAAACACAATACTTGCTTTTCACAGCTCCCACATCAGAGCGAGAATAAAGAACCTAGAATGTAGTACTTTACTTTTTGCATTCATACTTACAATGTAGCACAGATCAGAACACATTCTGTTATCAAATGTCTCTAATTTTCAGATGCCTCATATTTTCATTATTACTCTTTAACGTTAGGTACACACAGTGTACACAATGCTACAAAGATCATTAGCAGTATGTTTCTTATAAATTCAAATGTATTACTAGTTTCTAAAACAACTGGGGCTTTAAATATCTCTAATACATTTTTTAAAAGTATTATTGTGCATATCTTTACCTCTGCCCAAATATTTTTTTACTGTCATAAGAGACAATCTTATATAATGTTGTCTTCCTCTACTACAGAAATGATCAGAAAGTTTTAGAATTCCAAAACCACACACTGCAAACATGAACTGTAACCACTGGAATGCATAACACAATTTAAGATAACAAGAAGATAAATAAGGAAGAACATAATCTCACGCTACATTTTGGGAAAAAAAGTTTAATATTAATTTATTAAAAACTTTAAAACTCACACATGTAAGAATTATAACAAAAAATTTTAAATCAGTAACTTAGACTCTCAAACACAAGAAAATGGTCAGCAATATTCAGGTGCTTTTAGTAATAAAGAACTACCAAAAACTTTCAAATAGCATAAATAGCAGGAAGTCTGAATGTGATCTATCTTCACTGCATCTAATCTCTCTGTGGATGTCATGGTAAATAACTTTAAGCACAAGGGAACAAGTTGAAAAAAAAAAGAATGCTAAAAACGACGCTGTTATAGCAGAATCACCATAAATTTCAACATTTCCCTCAAAAGAAATGTACATTCATTGAGATTAGGTAATTGATTCATCTTTTATATATTCAAAATAGAGATGGACTCAAAATTATCCCAAAATATTACTTCATAATAGTATCCCTCATAAACTAATTCCCAAACAATTAATTCTTTACCACTCTCAGAAAACCAGAAAAAGACAGCTTTGAAAAAAAGCAAAATGCCACAAATGTCCCTATTTGCCTTGGTAGACAGAACCTCACTTCTTAATCATACTAGAAAATTAGAGAAGATGGTGAACTAAAGTGTTCATTCGAGCTCAGAACTATGCCCACTTACTAGCTTTATGCCCACTTACTAGCTTTATGCCCATTTACTAGCTTTCTCCAAACTCAGTCTCTATATTTAGCCAAATAAAGAAAAAATGTATTTCTCCTTGAAAAGAACAATCCTTTATTAACGCATAACATATTAAGTTCAGTAAGTAATAAGATACATTAGGGTTTACATGTCTACATACTATGGTCATTTAATATATTTATGATAGTCCTTTTAAAAATTACATTTTCCTAAACACCAGAGGTTTACCTTTTTCTATTACACATGTCTATCTGGAAAATATGCAGCTTAAAATACACATCTGCACACCTTAAATACCACATGATTGGCCCAAGAGCCAGCGTCTCGCGTACCTTGCTGGTGGAGGCTTTGTATGTGGTCTTCAGTTTCTGAGAAAGCTGGCTGGTACTATGACTGGCTGCAGAGACAGACAACCAAAAATCAATACATTTACACAACCAAAAAAAATCACAGAATCTCAGAACTAAAATAGACTGGGGATATCCAATCCACGATCATGTCACACAGGAAGACAATGGACCCCAGAGGACTTGTTTATCTACGTTGTCATGAAGACGATGGCAGAACTACAAGAATCCAAGTCTCCAAGCTCTGCATTTTTTCCTTCAATACCCATACTTGAATCATGTATTTCAAATATTCCGGACTGTAAAAAGCAAATAAATCCGTGTCCTTCGTTAAATTTCAAGTGTCCTCCACATATAATTTGTAGGGCAATCCTTTCAAGAGTATCCAGCCTTACCTTTTGTTTTGAGCTGGCCCTTACTCAGTTCTGCCCCATCGATCGCTTGTCCTTCAGCAGCTAAACGGTCATTAAGAGTGTCGATTTCTCTACGCACTGAGAGTTAAAAAACATTTTAAGGAAAAATATGTATGTTTAAACTCAACACTTTCAAAATCTGAGCACAGAAAAATGTTACATACTTATATTACCAAAACAAAACCATAAAGAATATCTTAATATACAAGATCACAGTTTTATAGTGTTATCCAAAAAAGTCGAGACCATCATTCAAGACAGTGTTCCAAAAATAAAGCACAAATGCTCTTCCTATACTAGGGAAGACATTATGCTATCAGGGTTCTGAAGCAAGGCTTTTGGATTTTAATATAGTTTCCTTGGTACTTTATTCTGTACATTAACAAATATTCTAGTACTGCCTGCAATTCAATGAAATACAGTATAGCTGAAAACAATAAAATGGGGGGACACATAATAAAAAGCAATTATTGCATGGCAAGATAGAGTACCAAGAGAGCAAGAAATTCAAGGAAAATTATGAAAAATGAATAAAACAGAATTATAGGGGCAAAGAGAAAACAAGGATGGACATCAGTTTTAAAGAAGAGAATGAGCAAAGTCACTGTACAAGATCTATGCAAGCTACAAAGTGATGGGTCAGGGAGCAGAGCCTGGGCTAGAGTGTGGGATAAGATCAGGGTACAAGAAGGCTGAAACAGATCCAGTCTAAGTAAATGCTATTATGTTTTACTAGCAGCAGCAAGCCAACAAAATCATTAAGCATGTGACAAAGTTAACTCAAGTACCTTTACAATTAATAATTTAAAATCCTGTAATTTTTCTTGAACAAACCTCATGAATTCATAAAAATAAGAATTTATGGGGGCCTCCCTGGTGGCGCAGCGGTTGAGCGCTGGGTTGCGAAGCTGCCCGCAGCCTCTGCAGCGCCGGTTAAATCACCAGCTGCTCCCCGGCCACCGGAGGAGGGTCCCACATGGCGCGCAGACCTCTCCTGCCGCCCGCTGCTCCCCTCAGCAGTGTGCTTCGGTCCTTCTGCCTGCTCTGCTCCCTGCTCTGGCTCTGGTGAATTCTCTCACCCTCCCGCGCTTCTGACTGTACCCAGTGCTTGTATAAATAAATAAATAAATAAATAAATAAATAAATCTTTAAAAAAAAAAAAAAGAATTTATGACAATGAAAAATCAATATTTCAGTTGTTAAAATCCCAGTAGTCTTAAAAAAAAAAACTTAAAACTATATGCAGTACATAATACTTTGATACTTAATTTTTACTTCATAAAAATTTGGAAAACCTCTCCCTCCAAAAATTTTCAAGGCAGACTTATAAGGAGAATCCAACATTAAAACACTAAATTTTCCAATAGCAAAATTTAAATGAAATAGTAATACATTCTCTTCATTAAGATTCAACTACAACACTTATTTCTTGAGTGAATAATATTTTAATAATGCAATGTTTATAAGGATTCAATTTTGGGAACTGAGTTATAAAGCATGAAAGACCTAATTATGTTTACATTTGCATAATACAGATTTCATAAACACAAACCCTATATAAACAACAAAAATTGGAAATGAACAGAGCAGAGCAAGATGAAGGACAAGGTTGTCTTGCTCCACTGTGAAGCAGTGGATCATAAAGTCTAGTGACAGAACTAAAAACGGAAGTGATTATTTTCCTTTGCAAAAATAATCAAAAAAGAGCTAAAAGCAAAAAATGAAAAAAATGCTCTCCTCTGCAGGAAGGTAATAAGCAGGCAGGGGTAATGGTAGGTAAGTATCTTTTCTCTTTATTCTATTTGATTTTTTAAGCATAGGAAGACATGCTTCTAAAATAAAATTTAAAACTATAGCCAAACTAAATAAAAATTCTTTTTATTTACCTTTAATAAGTCAAATAGATAATATACACATTTTAGGAAATTTTTATAATACGGCATATTTTCAAGAAAAACAGGAATCAAAGTTTTCCCAATTTATAGTACACAAAGTATACTACAGAATCATAACTTAGATCAACAGGTATGGTGAGCTAATTACTGCCTCCCCCTTGAAACCCCCCAGAGATGCCTATGACATAATTCCTGGAACTTACGAACATGTGACCTTCGTGGCAAAGAAACACTGCAGTTGTAACTAAGGTAAAGAAACTCCCAGTGGGGAGACCATCCTGATTGGCTTAGATAGCCCATCCTTCCAGTGTCTCAGGAGGGGTCACTGAGGCACAAGAAGGACTCTGCCACTGCTGACAGCTTTGAAGAAGCAGGAGCTTTCAGCCAAGGAACATGCCAGTAAGAAGATGAGAACCACTGTCCTAACAGTGCAAGGGAGTGATACCTGTCACAATCCAAACAAGCAGAACATATCTACCTTCATGCCTCCAGAAAGAACAGGGCTCTCCTACACCATGATTGTAATATGGATGCCAGTCATGCACAACAGTCATGCCAGACTTCTGATTTCAGAGTTGTAATCAGTTTGTGTTATTCTAAAGCACTAAATTCACTACAACAAAATTACAAATGGACAGAGAGAAAACTTTAAAATACAGTAAGAAAAAGAAAATAGACACAGTGGTGGATGTTCGCTCGTAAATTTGTCTGTCAAAGATTTCTATGGATAAATGAAAAGTAATAAAAGCATATTAACACAGGAAATACTCACATTCTAAGTTTTCAATATAAAGGTTTTCAAATTCTCTTTCTATTTGACCAAACAGTTCCAAAAGTGTACTGCGAACTGAGGAAGGCAGCTTAGAATCCTGCAGAAAAGAAAGATTTTATTTCGAATAAATATATGAATACTAGAGTGAATGAATGTGAGAAACTGATACCAAGTACCAAGATACTTTCCAAAGGGAATTATAATTATCATTTCTTAAAACTCTTATTATATCTTTAGATATTTTATTTCTTACATGGTAAGATGTAAGAAAATGGTAAAAGAACTTAGTTTCAAATTTCTATAGATGAAACTAAAACCAAATTGTACAAATGGTTGGCCAAGATAACATAAAATACAAATATAAGCACTTCTTAAAATACCCATTTTTTTCTTCTAAAGAGAGAAAATAAGCCTACCTGATTCAAAAACTTCCCAACTTGTGAAGAAGAAAAACAACCTCCATAAATGCAACTGTTACAAATAGTCTAAGTGCTATTATTTGGTACTATAAATTACTTTTAATATGCTATATACTAACAGACATGTCTTATAGAGTTCTCATGGTCAGTGTGCTTCCACCAAAATAAACTGAGTATTTCCTGTAAAACTATTCAATACCTACGAGAATGTTGTAAAAAGAGAAAAATGAAAAATCTCACCTGTAAGAGCACAATATGTATGAATTCAATGAAAACATTAGGTTCTCATCTGCATGCTCTGCAGGCTTGCATGTCTAAGCACCTGCTCTGTACACCTGTATAAACTTCCAGGGGACAACAGGCAAAAGCAACAGCCTGACTTTTTAAAGTATACTCAAAGTAAACGGTATCCTAGGCACCAACTGTGTTCACAAGATTTACTTTCCTGGGCCTCCCTCATGGCGTACGGATTAAGTCTCAGTGCTATTACTGCTGTGGCTTGAGTTATCAACCAATGTGGCCTGAATTCAATCCCTAGCTAGGGAGTTAACCCACATATGGCATACCAGACCTCTCCTGTTTCGCCCACTGCTCCCCTTAGCAGTGTATTTCAGTAAACTTGCCTGTTCTGCTTCCCACTCTGTCTCTGGTGAATAGTCTCACCCCCTGCATCTCTGGCCTACACCCCAGTTCTTCTATGCACAAATAAATAAATCTTTAAAAATAATAAACTCAAAATAGTCATGTATAAATATAAAACAAGACAGTTCAATAAAAAAAAAATACTTTCCTGGACACTGGCAATGATAGGAAACTAATACTGTCTATACTCCACACTTATCTCCTAAGAGCATGGTCTATAATTACTATTTTGTGTGGGAACAACCTCCTCCCAGCAAGTAGAGTGTTTTCAACAAAATTCTTAACAAGTATTTCTAAAATGCTTCAAATCCTAACTGCTGTCAGTGTAATTTTCTAAGTGACTTTTCAAATTTATACATAACACAAACTTTTTGATGTTTAATGAGTTGCAAATAAAAAATACAATGTTTATTAAATGTTTTCAGATTAATGTCTTAGGAAAACAAATTTTAGGGAAATGATTTCTAATGATATAGGCATGTTAGTAATCTGTTTTGAAATCACCACAGAATGCTCAAGTAAACTTTATAAGCTACTTAAAAATATATATGGAGCTATTTATTTAAAAGTACTCTGGTAGAATTAGTAATAGTCTCTCTCAGCAGCTGTCTAAAATAACAAAGAAGGGCCTCCTGGTGGCGCAGCGGTTGAACGCTGGGTTGCGAAGCTGCCCGCAGCCTCTGCAGCGCTGGTTCCATCCCTGGCTGCTCCCCGGCCACCGGAGGAGGGTCCCACATGGCACACAGACCTCTCCTGCCGCCCGCTGCTCCCCTCAGCAGTGCGCTTCGGTCCTTCTGCCTGTTCTGCTCCCAGCTCTGGCTCTGGTGGATTCTCTCACCACCCCCCACCCCCGCCCCGCGCTTCTGACTGTACCCAGTGCTTGTATAAATAAATAAATCTTTTTAAAAATAAAGAAAAATAAAAGAAAAAAATAACAAAGAAAAAAAATGAAAAAGCCCAAAAACTTAAAATAACAATAAAAATTAAAATAAACCATCAAAATTATGATTTAACACACTGCCTCTCCTCCCTCCCCCATGGTCTCTGCATAGTCCCTGCTCTGTGAGCCACATTCTTCCAACAGCCCTCAAGTGTCACTAGCTTGAGAATCCTTTCTGATTCTTGTACAGGTCTCTCCTCTATGTGTCTCAATTCCTAGTCATCTTATTACTCACCAACTAAAATACTGCACGCACCTTAATATAAAATATAATTGTAACAGGAGACAAAACTGAGATGTCAGTATTAATTTCATTTCATAAAACAATCACACAATGGAATGTGTGGTGAGAACTTTTCCACTAGAGGGCAAGAGAGCCAAGTCAGAGAGCTCCTTACAAAGATCCTGTTATCTTTTGTAACAGTTCTCCTTTCTAATGCTGTTCAATTTCAGAGACCCTGAATTGAGAGATGCTGAACTTCTGCTGCTAGCACTTGAGAAAATGCAAGACAAAGGAGCTACTGTGATCCAGTCACTTTCAAATGAGTCAGACTTTTATCACATTAGCACACACATAGACCAGGCAGACTGCAATGCCCATATGCAGGGGGTTTGGTGATATACCAATTTAGCACTTCTCTGTAAAAAAAGACCAGCCCTGCCCATGCTCATCATTGCTTCCTAAAATATTTCAAATTCATGAAACTAAGGCACATAAAATTACCATTAGCTCATTCACACTAATCTTCATCTCTTTTTAATGCTGTTCCCCAACACCTGAAGAAACATTACTATAACCTGGTCTAGAAGTAACAGTCTATTGTTCAAGTCCACTGGCAATGAGCCATCTGTGCTCTTAGACACTGGCACTTACACTTAACATGCCAAATGCTCACACCAAACACCAACACTATCTTCCAGAAAATGCTGGACACCAAGATGAGGGTTCTGGGATAGTGACTAAGCTGCTCAGGTTGGAGAATTCTGAAGTACATTCATAAAAGGTCACCTGAGATTCAATTACCTACTTTTCTACATCACAATGGAGGACAGGACACCAAGAGAAGAACACATTTATTTCATATGGGAGCTAACTCTAAAAAATGCTAGCACAGGTGACAGAATTGTCAGAGCTAGAAATACAAGTAAATCTAACAATTAGAAAAACATCTTAGACTACTCCCATGTAACATCCAAAATGGTAGCTAATAACCACATTTACTATTTAAATTTAAAAGTAAATTAAGCAAAATTTTATAAATTCACATGTGATTTAGGTCGAGAACATTCCATCATTATACAAGTTTCACTGCATAGTTCAGATGCAAACATTCACTTTCCTGAGAGTTACGGACTGAACTGTGCCCCTTTTCCTCCCAAACTCATATGTTAAAGTTCTAACCCCCAAAACTTTAGAATGTGACTAGATTTGGAGATAGCAACTTTAAAGGTGATTAAGTTAAAATGAGGTAATTAGGCCCTAATCCCAAATGACCAGAGTCCTTATGTTAAGAGAGTAGGACAGAGACACACACAAATGGAAGACCAAGTGAAGACACAGGGGGAACACGGCCATCTAATGCCACTGAGAAGGAGCGCAGAAGAAACCAGTCACTCCAACACCTGGTTCTCAGACTTCCATGCTCCAGGATGCCAATGAATGAATGCTGTATAAACCCTCATTCTGAGCTGCTTTTTCACAGCCACCTAAGTTTACTGACACACAAAGAATATCAACACCATTTTGAAGACTCTTTAAAGTCTATAGTTTTATTAAATTGAAATGTAATCATTTCTCGCAGATTCAGATGTTTGTTCACATATGCATCCATTCAACACAGTACAACAGGATTCTAATTGAATAGCCATGATGTGCCAGCAACTGTGCTGCACTCTGAGTGTACACTGCTGCCCTCCTAGAAACTACATCCCAGAGGACCAAAGAGATCAAAGTTCTGGGATCCATCATTCCAATGAACTAATTTCTCAGCTTTAAGCCTTATTTTCTTGTAACGTTATAATCCATGAATTAGTTCTAATTGTAAAAGAATGATTACAAATTTTATGTATTTATAGTTCTGCCTATAAATATGTATAAACTTACACAAACATGTATTATTTATTTCATCAAAACATATACTTTTATTTTGTCTCCATGGTATTCTTTAAAAATCCTAATAACTTTCATCATCATAGAGGAACTAGAAAAAGTATAAGTGAAATCTGTCAATAAATTATTAGTTCATTTAATCAAAGGGAACATCAAATTATGGGAAAGATATGCAATGTAATAAACAGCTGACAACACACTCACTACAGCAGACATAGGACAAAGCAAAGTTACTGAAAGGATGCATTCCAAAACTTCAGAAAACAGAAAGAGATCGTTAAAATTATATCTAATTCTGTTCTTTTCTTGGGACTATCAGAAACAAGAAACCTAAAATTGTACTGTCAATTAAACTGTACAAAGAATAAAAGCTGATCCAAACTTACACCACTTTTTTATTACTAGGTATTTTAAAAACATTAATCTGTCTCTGTTAAGCTGTTATACCTGGCTGCAGTTTTAGTTGGTTTATTGGAGTGAGGAGGGTGCTTTGCTTCTTGGTAACCCACATTTGTCCTTTGGAATTCTGTATACATTTAGCTTTTTTTTTTTTTTTTTAAGAACACCAGCTGCATGTTCACAGTAAGACTTACTTGTCCTTCTAACATTTCTCTCGGCAGACCCGCCCTCTCCTGCTCTGAGCTGTTTGTTCTTCGTATGGAAAGGCTATGAGATTTGCGTTTCTGTTTTGCTTGGCGAGCAGTTGAACAACTCCCGCTTTCTGTGGGCATTACTTCTAGAAGGTGATGTCCTGGTCACTCCTGCAATAAGCTAAACAAAAGCAGGAAAAACAACTACTTTATTTCTGACATGGCAAAAAGTCAAGAAAAACAGTGAACAAGACAATTATTACTTTTAATTCCAAACCTCTTTACTCTGGTTAACATTTACTATGCAATTTAGAATAAGAAAAATAAAGATGTTTTAAGGTAGAGACCACCACATTTGTTAGAGATTTTTTTATAAAATCTCATTAACACATTTTATTTTGTTTTTAAAGATTTATTTATTTATACAAGAACTGGGGTATAGGCCAGAGGCGCGGGAGGGTGAGAGAATTCACCAGAGACAGAGTGGGAAGCAGAACAGGCAGATGAACCGAAAACTGCTGAGGGGAGCAGCAGGTAAGGCAGGAGAGGTCTGCAGTGCCATGTGGGTATCTCCCTGACTGGCCTGGAATCGAATTCATGTTGCAGTGGTTGCGGACAGCTTCACAATGCTGTGCTGAACCCGCTGCACCATTGGGGAGGGCCCCAATTCCTTTTTAAATGTTAGTAGCTGGTATATAAAACTAAAACTGATTTTGTGTTATGCGCTTGTGTCCAAATTCTTACTGAATTTATTAATTCTTGATTTTTCCAGATTCACTGGCATTTTCTTTAAAAAGGACAGTTTTATTCCTTTCTGATCTGTATTGCCTCTTAGTGATTTCACTAGAAATTCCCGGACTATATTGAATTAGATTGGTGATTGCTTTGTTCTGATCTCAAGGTAAAAATATTGCTGGGCTTCCATTCAGAACCACCCAGCACACCCTAGTGATCCCAGCCTCCCTATCATCTGCCCTCTGATCTAGACCCCTCTGTGGTAGGGGCAGTAAGGTTTGGGGGTGATACAGCCTAGCAAACAGGAAGAACTGAGGCCCTACAGAATAAGCAGGGCTCAGGATCCTAATCCTGAGGGAAGGGGAACCTCACTCCTCCAGATCAAATTCCCACACCCACCTCCAGGGCAGGCCTCTACAACGACCAGGCTCATTTTCTCCTTCCCAGCAGATGTGGGGCAGCCCTTGCACACCAACCCTCTCTGCCCCATCTGCCATCCTCTATCCAAATATACACACGGTGAAATAAACCTCCCATACCACAAAAAAAAAAAAAAAAAAAAAAAAAGAAATATTCCATCTTTCACTTTTAAATAAGATGCTAGCCACAAGTTATTTGTAGGTTTTGTTTATCAAGTTAAAGTTCCCTCTGGATTTTCTTTTATAGCCTGCTACAGGGATGGTTTCCAAATGACAGCCCAACTGTTCTCCATAAAATAAATTCCACTTGGCCTTAGTAGATAATTCATCCTCTCTCTGTTCTCTCATTTTGTTTGTTTTCTTTTTCGGTTCTTCACAGGTTACCTGAACATTTTTTTTTTTTTAATAAGACTTCTTTTTTTAGCGATTTATTTATGCATACAAGAGCTGGGGTACAGGCCAAAGATGCAGGGGGTGAGAGGATTCACCAGAGACAGAGTGGGGAGCAGAACAGGCAGACTGACTGAAGTACACTGCTGAGGGGAGCAGTGGTGAGTCAGGAGAGGTCTGCTGCACCATGTGGGTAGCTCCCTGGCTGGCCGGGGAATCAAACTCATGCTGCAGAGGTTCTGGATTGCTTCATAGTGTAGTGCTTAACCCCATGCTCCACCAGGGAGGCCCTACCTGAACATTTTTTAGAATTTCATTTTGATTTAGTTTCTAAGCTCATCTCTTTTATATAACTTCTTTTAGTAACTGCTGTAGATATTACACTGCATTTTTATAATTTATCAGTTTACTGTCACCAACATTTTACCAGCTCATGGCAGAGTATAGAGACCAATCTTCCATTGTATCTCTTTACCCTCCCCCATTACCTAATTATCTGAAATATATCCAGAGAACCACATCAGAGTTATGCTTCAACCTTCAAATGTCATTTAAAGAAAAAAGAACGTCTACCAAATTTACCAATATTTTTGCTCTCCTATTGTTTGTTCTTCCTTCCTGATGTTCTCAGTTTCCTTTAGTCATTTCCTTTCTGCTTAAAGAACTTCCTCTTTTATTTCAGGGTAGATTTGCTTGTGGCAATTATGTGAAGGATGTTTCTACTTGATACAAAATTCTGAGTTGATAGTTCTTTTCCTTCAGCACTTAAAAAGGTGCCATTTCTTTCTGTTCTCTAGATTCTTATGAGAAATCTACTGCCATTCAAATTGTTTCTCCACTGTAGGTAGTTAAGTGCCATTTCTCTCATTGCTTTTTTGTCTTTAATTTTAGAAGTTTCACTATAAGGTGTCTTAGCGTGGATTTCTTTGAATTTACCTTTTATCATGGGCTTCACTATGCTTCCTAAAATTACAAATTTTACTTGCCAAATTTAGGAAATACTTAGTATTTCTGAAACACACATTTTCAGTTCTACTGTCTTCTTCTTCTTTCTAGGATTCTTTTGTTAAAGTCCCACAGGTCTCTGAGGTGTTTTTGTTTTTTTTACCAGTCTCTGTTGTTCAGACTGGGTAATTTCTATTGTTCCATCTTCATGTTCATTGAGTCTTTCCTCTGTCCCTTCCATGCTGCTAAGCTTTCTACTAAGCTTCTTATTTCATTTGTTATATTTTTTCAGTTCTAAACTTTCCATTTGAAACTTATATATTGCTACAAATGTGACTTCAATAAAAAAAAATTTAAATAAAACTTACATGTTTCTTCTTTAAACTGTGTTTTTCTTCCTGAGATTTTTCCATTTTTTCACTTGTTTCAAGCCTAACTGCTCATTGCAACACTTTTATAATAATTGCTTTAAAGTCCTTGTCAAAAAATTCTGACATCTGTGTCATCTCTGTAGTGCTATCAGTTCTCTTATTGTTGAGATTTCCTGATTTTCATGTGACATGTGACTTTCACATGAAGCCTCAACATTTTGTGTATTGTCATTCTTGGGAGCTGATTTATCTTGTTACAACAGACAAAAAGGTGCTATCTTGTTCCTCTCAGTAGGTACAGAAGGTCAAGGCGGAGACAGAGGTTAAGGTTTCTACTCTGTTGATCCTGGCAAGAGGTATTCCTAGTTACTGCAGGTGGAGTAAGAGTCCAGTCTCTACCTTGGCCTCCACTCATTCCACCCTGGCTGAACCATGGATGAGCCTCTATACTGGTCCCTACATGGCCTCATTACCACTGGTGGTAGAAAAATAACTGAATCTCTACTTGTTTTCTTCAAACACCACCCCAGCAGGAAGAGGAATGGATATGTTATCACCTGCAGAGATGAAAATCATAGCTCTTCACCCAGCCTTCTCTGATACTACCCTTGCAAAGGGTCACTTCATTATACTTCTTAAGAATTAAAGTCTAAATTCCCCATCCAGGCTTCAACAGTGGGAGGGAGGGTAAAGGCTTATTGTTTAAATAGTGCTCCTGGTGGTGCAAGAGGTTAAGACACAGCACTATGAAGCTATCTGCAGCATGAGTTCGATCCCCAGCCAGGGACCTAACCCACATGGTGCAGCAGACCTCTCCTCCTTGCCTGCTGTTCCCCTCAGCAGTGTATTTCAGCTGATCTGCCTGTTCTGTTCTGGTCCCCACTCTGTCTCTGGTGAAACCTCTTACCCCCCACACCTATGGCCTACACCCCAGCTCTTGTATGCATAAATACATCTTTAAAAATTAATTAATTAAATAGTGCTTTATCTGGTAAGCTGTCCTTTTCCTGGTCTTTTGATTAAAGAGCAGATCTTTCTTGGAGCTTTCTGTCTAGCCCTTTGGTGCTCTTGGGTTACTGGCTTATCCAGTACCAAATCTAGGATATGAGACAGAAAAAAAATCCATCAAATTAGCTCTGAGTCATCTCTCAGGTCCCAAAGTATCTCCGTCATTCTTTTTCTCCACCTTTCAGTCTTCTATTTGTCTTACAGATATAATGTCCACTGTTTGTAGCTGTACTCAAGGAAAGGAAGAGGGAAAGTTCATCTAGTCCCCATCTTTCCATAAATGTTTTTCAGGTTCATAAATATGCTAGGTACTAGGACTAGAAGTGGACAAAACAGACTTGGTCCCTACATCAAGACTCTTATAGTTGAGTTGTAAGGCACTGAACACAAAATCTCATAGCTTATTACAGAAATTACAAAGTGTGATGAATGCTATAAAAAAGAAATGCAAATCTTATGAGATGATCAGATGATCAGTCAAAGAGTGAAGAAGGTCATTTTGAAAAACTGATATAACTAACTGAAGAAACAGTTAGAGGTCACCATGGAGAGGATTAAGTATTTTAACTTAAAGGAACCATACATGCGAATATCCTGAGCTGGGAATGGTTTGCTAGCAATGTTAAAAAAAATGTATGTTGTGGTCCAGAGTGAACAATGGAACAAAATGGTGCATGATAAGATAGGAGAGAACGGATTGCATTGTTCTTTTGTTTAGATTTTATCCTCAAAAAAAAAAAAAGGAAACCACTTACAGATTTTTAAGCAAATACATGACACTAGATTTTATTAAAAGTCACCCTGGGGACTTCCCCTGCTGGCGCAGGCGGTTGAGTGCAGTGCTGTGAAGCTGTCTGTAGCCCTGGTTGGATTCACGGCCGGCCAGGGAGATTCCCACATGGCTCAGCAGACCTTCCTGTCTCGCCCACTGTTCCCCTCAGCAGTGTATTTCAGTCAGTCTGCCTGTTCTGATCCCCGCTCTGTCTCTGGTGAATCCTCTCACCCTCCCACATCTGGCCTGTACCCCGGTTCTTGTATGCATGAATAAATAAATCTTTAAAAAAAAAAAAAAAAAAGCCCCCCTGACTGCTGTGTGAAAATACAGAGACTAATTGAGTAGGAAGGGGGAAATCAGTTAGAAAGATACAGAAATAGTCTAGGTAATAAGTGATGGCAGTTAAGATTAGAGGGAAGATGATGGGGGTGGAGAGAGCAGTATCAGGATGGTCCTCATTTCCGGAGAAGTAAGTGATATAGTAGTCATTATTGAGATGAGACAGAAGATTTTGAGATATCAGGGCTAATATTGAACACATTCGGTTTGCAATGCATTTGAATAAAATCCAAAGAGGTAAGAGGTATAAAGGTCTGGAGATGAACAGAGTAGAGAACTAGGCTATTTTCATTAATCTAGGGGTGGTCCACATTTAAAGATGGGCATTTTGACCCAGTCATGCCTCTAGATTCGATTTCTTACCTCATCACTCTACTTTGTAAGAAAGAGAGTAAAAATTTTACTGGTTGAAACTGGGAAGACAAAATAAATATACAGTACCTCAAATGATATATGGAAAAAAATTGATTGAAAAATGACAAAACAAATCTTAGTGATATTTAGAACTAAAAATTATAAGCTACAGAATTAGGATATGGTTGAAATTAGGGCATAAAGAAAAATGCGTAATGATAAAATCTATAATGGTAGAATTTCATATAGTGAAAAAAGGTAATATTATTAACACTGACAAATTTAAGTTTAACATATCTATGAATTGGGAAACAATTGATATGATCTAGCTGAAGAGCATTTCAGTAATTTTTTAAATGGGAACATTTAGAAACTATTTTACTGTGCTATATACAAAAACTGGCCAAGAAATCTGATTTAATGGACTCTTATCCAGAAATTATATTTTTCATACAAATATAGGTAGATGAATGATTCTTTTCCAGTGATGACACATCTTAATAAATTCATAAAGCATATCATTATAAAAACCATTCATAAAATAATTTACCATACTTAGTTATGTTGCAGCTTATCAGGAATGTTTTATAAAGGAAAGAAAATATCCAAATATAAAAGCTGTCCTGATATGGCCTCAGAGGGAGATTTTAACATTAGATATTGAAATCATGTAAATAAAACAAAACAAGCAAGTACTTCTATTTCCTAACTGAAGAATGTTATCAGAAGATGTACATAAGGTAAGTATAAACAAGATTCTACTAGCTGATTATACAAAATGCAAAAAACTGTAATAACAACCTCCCTTTCACCTCAAAATTGTAGGCTTTGAATCATGACTTCCTTAAGTATCACACCACTGGCTTTTCCAGCCACAGTATCTTCACAAGAAAATAAGCATTCTTCTTTACAACTACATAATTCTTTACATACTCAAGTTCTGCCTTTCACTGAGCCTTCACAACCCCCCACCACCCCCACCCCCCCACCAAACCACAGAGTCGTTTCTGGCTTTGACTGCTTTTGTTTTTCACTTTCATGTAATAGTGGATACATTCTTATCTTTCCTTTTGATCAAATTCCAACCAAATATAAACATTCTGAACAATTATAAATTCTAACTAAACTCAAGAAGTCGTAGCTCAACACAGGCTCATAATGCATGTGTCATATGCCGAGTTATCAACACTAAGATTATCTGGCTAGTTGAAGTTCTGCCTTTTCCAATCATTTCTCCAATCATTCACAACTGTTCCAAAATTAGATCTGTAAGTTCCTCTAGATCTTCTTTTAAATGTCTTTTTCTGTTGTTAATCTTTCACAAAATCTTTCCCAAAATAAATCACAATTTTTTTTCTTGAAACTCTTTCAAATTTTACTCTTGTCTTTTCATTCACATGCTCCAGCTTTCCCCAACATTCTTCAGACTTACCACCACACTTCCTTCCTTCCTTGGTGGGGAGCAAGCCCTGGGCTCAGGGGCTAAACTACCATCTGTCTTCACCTCAGGCCATGGGTCAAACTTGTTAAAAAACAAGTTTAGGGTTTTTTCAGGTTGGTATCATGGAAAGAGAGGCAAGAGAGTTGCAGGTGTTTGTAAAAGAAAGATTGACATGACGTAGCATGGAATCTAAACTGAACAAGAGGAAGGGTAGACAAAATTAATGGAGGGACACTAATGGATGAACAGGTCTGAGATAAAGAACTGCCCCAAATGGTCATTTGCTGTGACCTCAAATGATCAGTAAAAATAGTCACTAATTCTCACAACATCCATTTGAGATACAACAGGCCCCAAACATTGGCAGACAAAACACTTTAGCAAACTGGTTATAAAATTATTTAAAAAAAAAAAACTTCACTCTGAAAATAAACTACTTTAACCACAGCAAGCTGTTTCACCTAAACATAAACTACTACAGATGTCTGAAATTCCAAAAACTATTTTTTTTCCTTCAGATAGTCACACCAATTTAGTATCAAAGGACAGATCAGTAGTTTAAACAGAAGATTTATGTGAATAAAATGTCCTACTTTTTTTATTTTAACATTTATCATTTTTTTAATTTTTTTAGACAATATTTGCTTCCCCCCTCCCCCTCAGATTGAGTCCCCATAGAATTTCCTTCCCCAAGGCACCCATGCACCAATTGTCCTATTTTTTTTAAATACTATTGTCAGGAAAGTATAATTAGCACCCTCCAAAAATCCCACCTCCCTATCCTATCATTCAAATAAATAAGAATTATTTGTTCAACTATTCAACTCATTTGCCCTCATATGCTGCCACATGCTTATTACCCCTACATACAAAACATTATGATTTCATATATCCAGAGCAATTTTAAAACAATTTTTAGGAGAACAGTTGCTCATGAACTTAATTTCATGAATGTTACTAAAATGCAAAAGAATGGCTAAAGGATATACTTGCATGTAGTATTTAAAAACATAAGGTGTGACTGAATTTCCAAAGAACTTCAAATTTTTTTTTTTCATAAACATCTTACTGTGAAAGCACTGTTAAGTAAATTCCTAGTGAGCTGAAACGTCAGACTCAATTGCTGAGCAACATCAATGAAGAGACTACCTCAGAATTCTGTCACCAGCCTTAACCTGCTTAAAATGATGTCACTGTTCTAGATATAATCACAGAATGCATGTTTATCAACTCTGTGCGTAACACTGAGCTGGGGGACACCAGTAAAACAAGATCTTTTAAAGATCTCAATAATTAACAGAGCGAGCTCCACCAATAAAGAATGAAATTCAATAAATGGAAAATTTTGTCTTTAGAAAAACCAAGACAAGACAATTTAGAGAGCTCTTAGTGTAACGTCAGGGAAACGAACTTAACAGTGTTAGTTCAGGGCAAGCAAAATAAGTGAAAAATCTAAAATACCTAGCCAAAAACAGTGCTGCAAGAGGTCTAGAGGAAGAGTAAGAAAGCATACCTAAAGACCCCCACTGCAAGAATGCGCGGCCCCTGTGTGACAACCTCAACAGGAGAAGGCAGGGCAGTGGAGATATTAGGCTCCTGCCCAAGGTCGCGGGACCGGAGTCCCCTACCCTCAGGTCCCTATAGGCATCGCGCATAAGAAGTGCGGTCTCCTGTGAGGTCTCACAGGGAGATGGGAAAACCAGCACTACAGGCACGCCTGGAAGGACGAGGCGAGCACGGAAGGGAGGTGGGGCAAAGGGAGACCTCGGCCAGGAGTTCCCGGGTCAGCGGGCTCAGGTCAGCACTCTAAAGGCACACGCTGGACGGCAGGCACCGTGGCACTGGGACCGACGAGCGAGCAGGTGGACAGAGTACCGTGATGCCCACACAGGCCAGCGGTCAAAGTGGTGCCTCGATCGAGCCACGGTGGAGGTGGGGAGGGGCTGCCGCAGGGCGCGAGGTCCAGGGCCTGGGTCTCAGGTGCAGCGGAAAATGGCACAGGATCGCGGGGTCAGAAGCGGGGTCAATGGCCAGGTAGGTACCAGGTAGAAGGGTGCGGATTCAGAAGCTGGATCGGGAGGGGCGGGGTCTGCGGACCGACGTCAGAGGCCGGGGGCGCGGAGAACGCGAGGGTGTGGGGCAACCTGTCCCTCCCGCACTCCTCCACCTCGGCGAGGCCGCAGTCGCCTATCCCCGAGCTGAGCGTCCGGGTGGAAGATGGCGGCCCGACACTCACCTGTCACGCCTCCTCCGCCCAGTGCCCGCCAGGCCGTGAGCTGCCGCCTGTCGGTTGCCAGCAACGTGGCGCCCGGGACGCGCAGCGGGGGTGCAGGACACCGTGTCTCCACCTAAAGCTGCCCCACCACCGGCAGCCCTGCTCCCCGCACTTCCGCCTCTGCCGGAAGTCCCGGGCAGGCCACACGGCCCGGCGGCCGGAAGTCCAATCCCCATCCACCACTCCACGCCCCTCGCCGCCGGAAGTCCCGCCCACCTTCGTTCCACTCCTGCCGACACCGGAAGTCCCTCCGCGGTCAGTCTCCACCCGGGAAGTCACGTCTAGCCGAGAGGAGAGCCGGAGGTCATGGTGCGGTGTCGCTCGTCCAGCCGCCCTGGCGCCCATCCCGCGGCGGTGGTCATGTGCAGGCCCGTCTCTGGGCCCGGAGCCGCGACTTGGCGAATTGAAACTGGGCACCAAACCGGAGTCCCCACTGCGACCTGACTGTGCGAGAGATACTGTCCTGGTGGAGCTCACAGAGGCAGGACCAGTGGTTTGCAGATGCCTGCTGATGACTCGTCCAGGTTCCGCTCTTCGTCATTTGCTCCCCGTGGCTAAAAAGGCAACAGAATCACTCATTGAAAAAGGTGAAACTTGAACAGCGTCCAGGCCCTGTTCCAAGATTGAAAGGCTACATAACAGGAATCCGCGGCTTAGCTCACACTGAGCGTTTGAAGTTTCTCATTTTGAGTCAGTCAAGAACATTTTTACTTTTGTTTGGGTCAACGTTTTTGCTCCTTCCCTTAAAAAATAAAGCTTCGGATTCGAGAACCTCTTCTATGATTCTTGCACAAGAAACAAATGTAACATACTTGAGGATCCAACTAACAAAAAAAGTATGTAGTTTAAAGACTGAAAATATGTCTGCATTGTGTTATAACAGTTTATCAGTAAGAACAGTTCAATAAGATCAACTTTTAAGGATTTCGGACTTTTGGAAGTTGTGTCAAAGCAACAGTTTTATTTCGCACATAATATAGTCTGCTTGTGATAGTTGATAAAAAGCTGTATGAACCACAATGTCATTTTTCAACTAGTTCACACACTAATATGTGGTTTTATTTGCAACAAAGCATTCAGTTTAGATAAAGTTACGACATTTTTAGTTTAAGTTATTCCCTTGGTGTATTTAGGATTCCACAAAAGTCACTAAAATGAGTTCATTAAAAATGAGGTGTCACAAAACTAAAAAGGGAAAGGAATAAACATTTTGAGAACTTGTGTGCCAGGCATTTAGCATATTTGGCAATTTCTTTAACAGTAAAGTAGAAATTCTAAATTGAATTCTCATTAAGCATGAAAATGTTAAAATATTTTTCATGAGTCAAAAAACTGCTATATGAGGGCCTCCCTGGTGGCGTAAAGGGTTAAGACACAGCCTGTGAAGAAATTTGCGGCCACTACAGCACAAGTTTGATCCCCAGCCAGGGAGCTACCCACATGGCATGCCTCCTGCTCTCCTCAGCAGTGTATTTCAGTCAATCTGCCTGTTCTGTTTCCTACTCTGTCTCTGGTGAATCCTCTTACCCCCCACACCTCTGGCCTGTACCCCAATTCCTGTATGCATAAATAAGTCTTTTTAAAAAAAATAAAAATAAATATTCCATTCAGGTGCTAACGATTGAAAATGGCTTGTAGGGTGGGGTACTTTGTTTTTTTGTTGTTTTTTGTTTTTTTTTAAGATTGATTTATTTATACAAGACCGGGGTACAGGCCAGATTCGCAGAAGGGTGAGAGGATCCACCAGAGACGGAGTGGGGAACAGAACAGGCAGACTGACAAAACGCACTGCTGAGGGGAGCGGCGAGCGTGACAGGAGAGGTCTGCCAGACCTGTAGCCCTTTGCAGAGACTTGGCTGCTGTACTTGCCAAGTCCTTCCTTCCTCCTTGCCTGCAAGAAGGCCTAGTTGACCTAGAGCCTCAAAGAGCTGTTGGCTATTGGTTCATACCAATAGCTCACAAAGATCTATTAACACTGGTGTATTTGACACTGCCTCATGGTAACTGGTGACTGGCACTACAGGGCAGTGTTATCCAGCACTGTTGACAGGTGATTGGTATTCTGTGCCCAGTCACCTTTGAGAGCTGTCCACTGCTTCTACTTCTCTGTCACTGCCTCCTGGTGCTACTAACCTCCATTGCTGTCTGGTCCAGTGCCACGTGCTGTCTACCCCAGCCTTCAGGCTGTTGATATGAGCTGCTACAGTATCACTTCAAGGGCCCCACCTGTTAGCACCTCCAGCTGTCACCGTGAGTTAGATACTGACTCACCACTTGCCAATGTCAGCTCTAGGCCATCTGGTGGCATCCAGGTGGCAATCACTTATTTATTCAAGTGGAATGAATAAAGGAAGACTATGTTCGAATTTTAAAATTCAGATTACATATGCCATCTTGCATAAGAAGACTTTGACGCTACAGGATGCTACAGATACTATCTGAATTGAGACAGCTGCTTGTGGCCTTAGAAACAATATTTCCCCACTCTCATTTGTTAAATAAACCCATTGTTATAGCTCTGTAAACTGACTTGTCTTGCAATTGTTAGCACACAGGTGAGAACTCAGACAGTGACCTGTCCCACCTTGGCACTGCCCTTTGACCCTGTTTTAGCAGTTTTGATTAGAGAAGACAAATAAAATACTTCCCAATTTTTCTACCTACACATCTGGTGAAAGGCCAGATTTTCTTCATATACTTCAGCCCAACATAACATATAACACCTGTATTCTGTAGTTAGCCATTAAGGAGATTTGCCAAAAATGTAACCAGAATACCCACAAGCCTCTACTAATTTTTGTTTGGAAAAAAATAATCATTTTTCATTGAAATGTTAACATGCAATGTATTGATCATCTTTAAATTGATAAAATATTTTAATATATCAATTTTATTGTTTCTAATAAGCTAAATAGGGATGGATACAAATTGTAAGAAAAAGCTCACTAATGTCCTTAATAAATTTTCGGTGTAAAGATGGCCTGAGACTAAAAAGTTTAAAATCCACTGCACTACTTCACTAAGCTCACTCAGTACAGAGCTTCCTCAAATTATAGTAGGTTTATGTTCCAATAAAAACATAATAAAATGAAAACATCATAAGTCAAAATATATTTAACACGCTGTAGGGTAAGGTAAAAATTATCAGGCTTTTCTGCCCTCCTGCCATTAGGATAGATGACGGAACCTTGCGGTCCTGAATGCATGCCTGATGGTGGGCACCTGGAATAGGGTGTGGGTGTATGTAGATGGGATTCACCTGTCCTAAGACTGGGCTTTTAAGGATGGCATCACAGGGAAGCCAGCAGGAGCAGAGAAGCGAAGAGAAGCAGAGAGAATGCCAGAGAGCCCAGATAGAGTGAGGATTTGCTGAGGGCTGCCAGCCTCTGGGCCCTCCAGCACCCCTGCCTGCCATATGCCTGGTAGATCCAAATAAAAAGCCTGCAAAACCCACCGAGGACACTCTAGGACTCCTTCTTTACCTGGTCTGCTGCATCAGAAAACCTGCACTGTGTCCTTTTTGTCCCTACACACACCTACTGAATTGTTTGCCTACCAGAACATTGTAGCCTACTTAGCCTACCTTAAATGTGGTCACAGTAGCCTACATTTAGCAATAGCATCCAACACAAAGTTATTTTTCTAACAGTGTTGACGATCTCACACACAGATGGGCAAATTTGCTGCAAGAGCACAACAGACAATAGTGACTGCCATATTGCTAGGGGATCCTATAGCTAAACCTAGGGCTGGGAAGGGTGGGGGAAAAAATCGAATTTCAACATTTGAAGTATTGCTTCTACAAAATACGTATCTCCTGTAAAGCTGAAAAGTCATTAATGGAACCATCATGTCCCAGACTATATTTAAAGTGTCACTGGCATAATGAAAGAAACAGCTTAACTTCAATACATATACTATTGTAGAAATAAATTCTAGCCTTTCACCCAGGCAGAGGAAGAACAAGCGGTACTTCAAGAATGGTGAGGTCAGGAGAAGCTTTATTACTCATGCATGAGGTCCCAGACCTGGGTAGCGTGGTAAGGTCTGAGCACCCATTTAAAGACCAAGGGTTCCTTTTATACACAACTGTGTCCATATCTGTTACATTGATAGCATCGTTTTTCAGCAGGCACAGCCATTTGCAGCAAAGTTCCCAGACAAGGGGAGAAGATGCAGGCATTCAGGGATGACATTGGAGGGAGAGAGAGAGAGAGAGACCAACATGGCCGGCTGCCCTACCTTATAGATAAGGCCCTGGCCATGAATCTTAAAAGGGCAGGAGCTCTAAGTAAGTAAACTTGTTGATTATGCCCGCAATGGAATGTTCATTGCACCTGGGCTGGAAGTTATGCTGCAATCTTTATTATATTCATTTGCTCAATAATATATTTTCTCACCAATACACTAATAACAAATATTTTTAATATGAAAAATAATGTTATATGTAATCTGAATTTTACAAGTCTAACATTCTTCCTTTATTCAATCTACTAGAATAAAATATGGCCGCAGGGGCTTCTCTGATACAAAGTTTCTCTACTACAAATCAACCCTTACAAGGTTCCTGACCGCCTGCCTCGGCGTCGTGCACACTCATGGGGCCTCTTGCACAAGTCCCAGACAAATCCTCCGGCCTTCACTCCCGGAAGTCGGCTTCGCCCGCACTCGGGCCACGGGAGAGGGCGCCACATTTCCGCCACACTTAAAGGGGTGAAGGGGTGGGGCGCCGCTCCCAACGCTGGGCGGCCGAGAGCCCCTAGTGCGCACGCGCGCCCGGAGGACTTCGGCCGGACCTCGGCTCGCCCAGCCCTCAGCTCCCCGCGGTGCCACAGGCAGCCCACCCGCGGCGAGGCTTTCAGGTCGGCGGCCGGGAGCCGCCTGGAGGACCTGGGCGAGGAGGACTCCAGGTCAGGTCGGCAAGCGATCCCACGCGCCGAGTGTGGTGCCACCGCGCGGCCGTGACTTCAGACGCGGGTCGGGGCGCGATTGGCCCGCGGGCATGTGGCGCGCTCTGGCCTGGGCGCGCGCGGTTGGGCGCCCAGCGCCGGGGGGCGTGGCCTGGGGCTGGGGGGGCTCAAGAGCGTATCCTGCGAGCTGCGGGCGCCACGGACCCTGAGGCCTCGGGACGCCGGCGACTGAGGTACCGGGTGTCTGATGTCAGGGCATCGCGGGGCGGCCAGAGAAACGGGGTGCAGTGGCGTTCCGCGGGCACAGATGGCAGGGTGGGCTTTCCCGGTGAGGAGGGGTAAGAGATGGGGTGCAGGTGTGGGTTCTGCAGGGCTTGGACGGCAGTTGGGGGTCCCTGCGGGAGAAAGCAGCGGGGAGGTGGGCCCCGCAGGAGCCCGCGAGGGAGAGACCTGGGAGGCGCCCGGCTCCGGCGGTGCTGTGCGGAGCCCTACCCCGTGTTAGGGGCGCCTCGGGACTCCAGCGGGATTGCACAGACCCCACCCATCTTTTCGTAGCATCTGACCGCCTCCGTGTTGAATCGATGTCCAGGTGACTCGCGCCTGCAGGTGCTCCCTCCTGGCCCCCAGCGGGAGCATCCCCGGGGCGCGGGGTGCATAGTAACACGTCGTAGCGTGCGTGGGGGTCGTGGTGGTGGATGTGCACAGTGGTGGAGCTGCAGTGCTGCAAGTGCACAGCGGCGGATGGAGCGGCGGGGACGGACTGGTACAGTGGGGCGTTTAGGTGATGCTTGACAGGTACAGGGGTAGATACGTGCGTGCAAGGGCAGAGAGGAGCCGGCTGGAGGCTGGTAGCCCAGCAGAGTGGGAGAAGCGGGTTGGTGGTGAAGGCCGAGCTGGAAGGCAGGTGTACACACCGTGGCACCTGGTGCAGGGGATGCATTGTTACTTCACTTGTCCCTAGAGTCGCTAAGTGAAGATACCTCAGTCTTTGGGGAGTGTGACTTTTAGGGAGGGAAATGACTGGAAAGTCTGGTTTCCATGTCAGTGTGGGAGGCAGTTGAGGTAGCTCTGACAGTGAACAGGTCCCCTTATCAACCTGTCTGCTGGTTTAAGAGGTGACTTGCAAGTTTCGTGGTGGGTAAATGTTCACATGCCTTTTAAAAGGTGTTTGTATATGCATGAGTCTATAGACTTGTGAAATCAACTCTTTTTAAGTTTAAGGCATTTTAGATTCTGAAATGAATCCTTTTGTCAGCTACTAGTGAGCAGTAAAAAGGAAAGATCTTCATCTACACATGAAAGCATAGCAGAACTTTAGTGGAATGTTGAATATGAAATTAAGTCCCAGAAGTCTCAAAAGTATAATTCCCCTATTTACAAAGTGTTCAAAAACAAACTATAGGCTATGATGACTTAATTTATATTACACTAGCCTATAAAAGTAGGCTACACTTTCTAGCCCATTGTAAAATCCTATTTCTGTATACGTATATCTATGCACATGTATGCATGATATAGATATACATTATCTACAAGGAAATAATAGAGACAAAAGTCACTAACTTTTGGAAGTGAGGCAGAAGGGATGGACAGCATCACATTCTGTAACTACTCTTGTTTTTTTTCGGTTGGGTGAAGTGTTCCAGGATCTTCTGTATATTATCTTAAAATGAACTATCTTGTGATTATAAAGTTCAGTCTTAAAATCTGAAACTGGGGGAAAGAGAACATGACTTGGAACATTGTTATATTCTGTAGTAATAGAATCTACCTTGGTGATGCACTCAATCTGTATTAAACTAGCCTATAAAAGTTGTAAATATGTATTTTTTAAACGAGGCTAACTTTGAAGTTGACTTAAAATATATCTTGCACAATATTCATCTTGCTCTCTGCTTTTAGTTATTAAGGTGGTTTTCCATTTTTTGCGCTCATTTTGTCATATCTTCACTGATTCCTGACACCTCCTCTCTGGCAAACACACAGTTCACTCCAGGCTGTATTTAGGGTGAGAGCCTTGTATCAAGTGGCTGCTTTGTACTTACACATAGTTGAAAGAAAGTCGCTAAGTAGAACACATAGAAACTTCAAAATATATAGTATATATTTTATATACACATCAACTCAGGAAACTGAGGATAAACTATGCATTAGATGCTTTGAAAAATGACAAGTACTGAGAGCTTAGAAATCCTGGATATGGATGTGTAAAAAAGATTGAGTTGGGCTATAGAAATGCTTACGTGAGTGCTTTAAATCACTGGGAAGAGAGAAATCAAGGTTCAGAACTTTAAGCCTCAATGGGATGTACTCCATCAGCTAGATCCTGTGGACCAAATCTGGCTCTATTGCCCTATTTTGTTATTTCCTGTGACCTAAGAATATTTTTTTCATTTTTAGTTGTTGTTATTGTTGTTTTTGGTTTTTTTCTTTTGGGGGGGAGGGGGTACTGAGGGGAGAAATCAAAATATTTCATTGTATGTGAAATTCAAATTTCAGTATCCATAAATGAGGTTTTATTGAAACACAGACATGTCAATTGAAGCGTTGCTTAGGCTGCAAAGGAAGTAGGATACACTTTCTGGCCCTTTATAGGAAAAATTTGTGAACACGACCCTAAATATCCATTGACTATGATGAATTAAATTCTCTTTTGTGCATCTGGATGGTTTTAGTTCTGTACTGCTGTTGGGAGAATTGCCACACAATTTGATTAAGAAACCTTGGAGAAAACTAGATTAACTAGTTACTGGGATATTGGTAAAAGGGGTAAATATTGGGATATTGAACGTTGGAGAATGAATTTCAGGTGTGTGGTTTTCTTGAGCAACGACAGAGGCAGGGAAGTATTTGGGATGGTTATGGAAATAGATAAGAGAGAATGTAGAAACTTGTTGAAAGATAGGATGAAAAGTTAGGTTGAGACTAGATCTTAATGGACATACACCTAAGGAAGAAAAGTATATAAAGGGGAAAACATTCACTGCCACGTGCTGCAGAGGTTTCATGATAAGAATTTAAGTGAACATTGAGTTTAGCAGTTAAGAGATTGACAACATAAATGGCCCACTTTGGTGGCCTGTAGGAGACATGATGACTGAGATGAAGTGAATGATGGACCAGAAGTATTTTTTTTTTTTTTTAAGATTTATTTATTTATCCACGAACTGGGTACAGGTCAGAGGCACGAGAGGGAGGGTGAGAGAATTCACCAGAGACAGAGCCGGGAGCAAAACAGGCAGACAGACCAAAGACACTGCTGAGGGGAGCAGAGGGCGAGGAAGGAGAAGACTGCCAAGCCATGTGGGTTTCTCCCTGGCAGGCCAGAAATCGAACCTGCGCTGCAGAGGCTGCAGACAGCTTCACAGCACGGTGCTCAACCCGCTGTGCCACCGGGGAGGCCCTGCACCAGAAGTATTCCTGGGGACCTGATAGGGATGAAGATTCTTGCAAATAAGAACAAGAATCATTCCTACCTTTGGCAATGACTAGATTGCTTTCTGGGCTCATAGATTTAGAATTGTTTCTTCAAAGTCTTTATACAACATGCAGAGAAACATGGTATAATAGCCTATCCTTCTCTTCTTTTTTAATATTAGGATTCTAGGACAGATTAGACATACTGTGACAATGCCTGAAATAAATACCGACAAACTCGATAAACAACAGGTTCAACTCCTGGCGGAGATGTGTATTCTTATTGATGAAAATGACAATAAAATTGGGGCTGAAACCAAAAAGAACTGTCACCTGAATGAAAACATTGATAAAGGTACTGTTTTAAAATATTCTATTTAAAAGTGTTTTGCCTAAGCATTACAGGTCAACTGAGAAAAGTACTCAGTAAAGGAGATGTGATTTTTTTAAACATATGATTTAGTTCTGATTAGTTAAGATGTGTAATAGTAGAACCAACCTTGCTACTTTCCCTGTATAACAGCTGTTTCTTTCCAGTTCATGTCTTTTACACAGTTTATTCAGGGTTTTTTGGGGTTTTGTTGTTGTTGTTAAGGGGAATAGTGTAATCTTGACAGAATATCATTTCTCAGGCTTTTCTCATAAATGGAGAGAGGTGTCATCAAGGGAAGCACACACCTTCCTAACTTTCTCATAAGTAGACTGAGGCCAACCTAAAGGTGTCTGGAAAGGAATTTGGCTGGTAGCATAGCTAGCAGTTTACCATATCTTTCACTTGGTGACCATCTTTTTGCATCTGCCTGAGATCACCATCATAGCTATGCGGAGACTCTCCAAATAGAAGCCTGAAAAAAAGCTAAAATGGCGTCAAGTTACTAATACTCTGAACCCCAAATGGAGAATCAACCAAATTACTGGTATTTTTAAACTAAATGTTATCTCTTTTGCTTTTAGGATTATTACATCGAGCTTTTAGTGTCTTCTTATTCAACACGGAAAATAAACTCTTGCTACAACAGAGATCAGATGCTAAAATTACCTTTCCTGGTTAGTACACTTAATGTATGATATCTTGTTGGAAACTATGTTTAGTTTAAATTTGTCATTTGAACTTCTTGGTAGCCAAGGTCCAAAGGGAAATCCTGTGACTGACTTAATTTCATTTTCAACATAAAAGAAGCTTATACAATGAGTGCAACCAAATAAATAGCAATAAAAAATAAGAACTCTTAGATACGTGTTATGTATATATAGATTTAGACATTTAAAAAATCTATACATTTTGATCTCTTTGGTTATAAAGGCATTAATAAAGAACATACTACACATGTCTGTTTCACAGAAATGATTACTGATAGTCCATTATAATTGATTTTAAAAATCCTAGGCAATCATTCTTTTTTTTTGCTGTTATAAAAAAATTTGTTTTTCTTTTTTTCTTATTTTTTGTTTCATTAATTTTTATTGTCTTTCAAACCTATCTTGAAGAAAAGTGAATTTACATATGTTCAAACATTTCAGGTTGTTTTACCAATACTTGTTGTAGTCATCCATTAAGTAATCCAGGAGAACTTGAAGAAGACGATGCAATTGGAGTACGAAGAGCAGCTCAGAGGCGCTTGAAGGCTGAATTAGGAATTCCTATGGAAGAGGTAGCCAGTTTTGTACAACTAACCATACAAACTGAAATCTTTTTTTTTTTTAAAGATTTACTTATTTATGCATAAAAGAACTGGGGTACAGGCCAGAGGTGTGGGGGTGGAAGATTCACCAGAGACAGAGTGGGGAACAGAATAGGCAGACTGACTGAAATACATTACTGAGGGGAGCAGTGGGCAAGTCAGGAGAGGTCTGCTGCACCATGTGGATTGCTCGCTGGCTGGCCGGGGGATCGAACTTGTGCTGCAGAGGCTGCGGACAGCTTTATAGGTTGCATCTTAACCCCTTACGCCACCAGGGAGACCCCAAGCTGAAATCTTTTCATTAAGCATTTTAAAAGATTTTTTAAGTACCAATGACAAAGTAAGAAATTACAGGTAACAAGAAGGAAACTTCTCGGAAAAAACTATTACAATTAACACAGAAACAATAATTTACTACAGTATCAGATAGGACATACACTTCAATATTGAAGTTCTGAGAACATTAGAAAAAGCTATTATCCATTCTAATCAGGCTTCATCAAGAAAAAGCTAAATAATGTTTAGTATATTTGGTTTTCATAAAAACAAAAATGAGTAAAACATACTTTTATATTTTATCCAAAACAGTAAAAACTTTACTAACCTACAAGGTAGACTTTAAGTCATCTATAAAACTCAGCTGTCCAAAATAACTCACTTCCATGGTTCCAGAGAGCCAAGTATTATAATCAACAAGCTTAAATCTTAAGTGTACATTTTCAACATAATTTTAAGTTCAGATGTAGGTAAGTTGCTGATTTGTAGCCTCTTGAGTTATTAGTTAAAATGATAAATTTTTTTCCTCCCAAAAAGGAATATTAAGGAATGAAAAATATTCATTAAGGAATATTAAGATATGAAAGCAATAGGTCACAATTCCAGTTTTTAGGGACTTTTTAAAAATAATTCAATAAAATCAGCTTACATGTTTGGTCTTCTGGGAAAAACATTAGACACCTGGAACTATGTAATATTATTTCCAAATATGATCACCTAGGAGATTAATATTTTAGAATTCCAATTCTAACACTGTAATTCTGTTGTTCAAGGTAGTAATGAAGTATAGTAAATCAATTTAGATGACTTTTTTGTTATTAATGGTTTTATTGTTTTATTTTAATTCTAGGTTCCTCCAGAGGAAATTAATTATCTCACTCGAATTCACTACAAGGCGCAATCTGATGGTATCTGGGGAGAGCATGAGATTGATTACATTTTGTTTGTGAAGAAAAATGTAACTTTGAATCCAGATCCAAATGAGATTAAAAGCTATTGTTATGTATCCAAGGAAGAACTTAAAGAACTTCTGAAAAAGGCAGCCAATGGTGAAATTAAGATAACTCCATGGTTTCAGATTATTGCAGAATCTTTTCTCTTTAAATGGTGGGATAACTTAAATCATTTGAATCAGTTTGTGGATCATAAGAAAATACATAGAATGTGAATACACCAAGAGCGAATGTGTAGACAAGTACTGAAAAGTTAACTCTACTTAGTAAACATAAAATGATTTTGTAAAAATTTGGCTCCACTTTAGGAGAACTCTCATTCAAAACATTACAACCAGAAATTGTGTGGAAAAGACAACCAGTTTCCTAATTTTGTATTACACTCCCCGCATACATACACTGCTCTTTCTAAGAAACATTTATGAGAGGTTATTGTAAAAAAGAGGGGAACAAATAAACTTGTGTGAATACATGGTCATGATAAATTTGAATAAATGAAATTCTTCATTTGTGATGTGTTGAAATAAGCATTTTCAGAGCACGTGGCTATTTGACATATATATATCACTATGACATTTTTATCATAGTCAAGAAAAATGCAATGGGAACTATTTGCCTAGCTACTCTAAAATAGTCAACATTAACTTTCCTATTAACAGATTTGACTTAGTAGAGCAAGTTCAAGGGGAATTAAATGGTATATATGCTAGTTTCTGTCATTCTGATCTGATTGTATGACTTAATCATTCTGGAAGAATCATTTTGATGATTAAAGTCAGGCATTTAAATCTTTTAGATAGTCTTAACAATGAGCAAAGTCTGTATTTTCAGAATTGTATTGTCAGAATTTCAACTGACAGCCTGTTGGTATATGGAAATTGGGTCATAATCGACAAGTTTTCTCAACCTGGTCACTGTTGACATTTGGGACTGGTATTTTTTGTTGTTGAGGTTCATCCTGTGCATTGTAGGACGTTTAGCAGTATCCCTGGGGTTCTACCCACTAAATGTCAGTATCACCCCTTCCCCATCACAGACCAGAGGCCAAATGTCTGCTGAGGGTAGTCATCCCCATTTGGGATCTACTGTTCTATGAAGCAATGCCATATTGTAATGGGAGAAAATTAGGAGAAAAGCTAGTGTTCGTGTTAAATAGATTTGTGTAATGAAATGTATTTATTGACTTTTGAATTGTACCTTGAAAATGCACTTTTTAAAATTCTTGAAACCATAAAATAGCTTTATTATCCCTGAATGCTACATTATAATAAATACTAAAGATAAAAATTTGTTTCATACAAAGTTAAATGTTTTATAAATTCAATAGAAAAATCCATTTCTTGTTATTGCTGAATAGTTTATTTCAGGCAAATTTGTATAACAAGTATTTATTTTAAAGAAAAACAATAAAGAAAATTACCCACTTTAATGCCGTTGTCTAGTTTGTTAAAATTTTATACAAAAATAATAGATTAACTTGACAGTAGTAGCTAGTAGTAGTAGTGGTAATAGCAGCTTACAATACTCAGCAAATGTTAGATACGGCTAAAACAGGTAGGTATGACTATTCTTTGACCTGATCAACTCCTTAGCATTCCATCTTTTTAAAGCCAATTAAGGCTAAAATTTTTTTTTCTAAATTGCTTAAAATTCATTTTGCAAAATATATAACTCTTTGATGCAGTACAGGCCACTGACAGCTCTTGAGGACTAGATACAGAGCAGAGGTTATCTTCTATAAAATTGCTTCATCTGTACCCACACCTGTATATATCCCAGAAAACAAGGGCGAAAAAGAAGGTATTGTAGGAAGAAGGAACACATTTTTCTTAGTGGCCCAAGCAGGCAGGGCCAGGTACACATGAAAGGACAAGTCCAGTAACGCTGAAGCTCAGAAGCAAGTTAGTAGATGACTGGGTTGTGCCCCAGATAATTCTCAGGTGGAAGCTGTCCTGTCAGCTCCCTGGAGATGCTTGCTTGATGTTTCATTCCCGCAGTGAGTTGGTCTCAGGGTTGGGAAACCTCTGTTCTAATTCCCTGACTCCCTTCTTTTGACAAATGGGGTGTTTCCTTAATATTTCAAAATGCCTCTTCCTAATTCCTGCCTTTTCAACCCTAAAACTGTATTTCTAACTCAACCAATTTTACAGAGTGAGCTTGGTATAAATTTGTGCATATTTAAATGTGCTAACAAATAGCTTTCTACTGTATAACTTTATACATTCTATTTACATATCCAAACGCTACAGACTCCAAAATTTAAATCTCCATGGAATTCTATTCCATATTGCTATAGCCGGCTGCCCATATGACAACTCTCCTTGTATATGAAATAGTTATCCCGGGCCTCCCCTGGTGGCGCAGCAGTTGAGCGCTGGGCTGCGAAGCTGCCCGCAGCCTCTGTAGCACCGGTTCGATCCCTGGGCCCGCTGCTCCCCTCAGCAATGTATTTCGTTACCCTGCCTGTTATGTTCCCCGCTCTGGCTCTGGTGAATTCTCTCACCCTCCCGCACTTCTGACTGTACTCAGTGCTTGTATAAATAAATAAATCTTACTAAAAAAATAGTTATCCCACACTAAGGTTGAGCTGAATGCTATCCACACTCTCGACAGTGGCTGAAACCAATGCCTGGTAAGAGTACAAGCACTTGACAGGTTAGAGCTGATAGTTGTTAAGGTTGTAGGGATTTACATAGAGTACTGGGTAGGAATGAGTCCCAGACGAGAGCTAAACTCTGCAAAGAAATACCCTTGTGTCCTAGCTGTCAGTGAGAAAGCAACTAGCTTAGAAAGAGCAGTTCCTGGAGTTTGAAAGTGAATAGACATGTTTGAGGTCTTCACCCCCACTAATCTGGAAATTGTCACATCCAACCAGTCAAAGGCAGGGAACTCAGACATACCTTGGGTATGTCATGCCCACGGGTGAGAGCTATCCTTTAGGATTATGAAAAACCTGAAAAAGACTGACCCAACACTCAGCCTCAGCAGAAAATTATTTTTGTTCCCTTTGGTGAAATTGTCAGCATTTCACTTGCTGAAATGGCCTCAGCATTACACTGCCTGCTGGGAAAATGTTCTACCCATTTGGAGCTGATGGGAATGATACCATTTGCTGCTATGAGAGGCTCTGACCCTGGAGCTGGACACCAGTCAAATTCTCTGAGTTTCCATACTCAACAACCCATCAAGCCTCATGATGATGACATGCTGTAGGTGGCGCTACCCATGCTATCTTGACAAGGTCCAGGCATTGGGGGAGACTCCCGAGAAGAGGGGAGTTCTGCACTTCCCAGAAGATCTGAATAAGGGAATTTCCACAGCAATACCTACTAATACTCTTCTGTTTGTTCTTGGTTAATGCAAAAGTATGTTAGTTATAAATTGGCTTGTGAAAACCTAATTCGGACCAAGGCATTAATTGGCCTGTTGTTGTTACGCTTGAACTATTACAAAAGAAAGTAAAATTGCTAAGGTATAGTTAGGAAAGAAATGTTTTGGCCCTGAGAACTATGGAGAACAAGATGTCCGGAACCAGCTGTGCTTGGCAACCATAGCCCACCCAGGGGGTACGTGTTTGCAGAAGCAGTACATTTCCTGGTGTCTGCAAAAGGTCAATAGTTCGCGGTTGTGTGGAGATTAGGTATTTCTAGTTAAGAGTTAGGCTTCAGTGGAATTAAAATAGATTTGATGAGTTACTTTAGGCCACTTTGAAGTAATTGATAAATTAGCTAAGTTAATTGAGTGCTAGGGAGATAGGTTGATTTTAGTAATAGAATATAGGATAGGACTTTCACGCCCACTCCGAAATTAGGAAAGTTTAATAGGATGATTAATTGTTACTGAATATTGTGCTGTCTTAGATAATTGATCATGATGGGAAATGAGTTGCACCAAGAAAACTAATTGTTCCTGATGTTTTTCTTAAGGTGATCAAAGAAGTGCCCTTTTGGTATGAGAACAAGAGGGTCTCTATATGTTCATGAGAAAATATGTAATGATTGTCTTTGTTTTGGTTCAATGCTTATGATGATGTAATCTCACGACCCGCTGAGACCCTCAGCAGGAGATACTTGCACCTCATCAAGTGTCAATGTCTCCTCACTACCTCATCTACCTCATCTCACCCCTCCCCTCATCCCTCAGTTTTACCGACGCCACCTCATCCTTTCAGGGACTCCTGACACAACATTTTGCCGGAGCTGGCTTTTGGCAGTGACATTGGGACATATTGATGCCAGGAGAAGCCAACTCCAGAGAGACATGATATGTACCTTGTCCCAGTCAGCACCTGTCTTTCAACTTATCTCTGTTACTCAGCAAGTATCTCATGTCTTAAAGTCTTCATTTGATCCTGGTTAATCCTTTGCTGAGCATACTTCATCTATTTCCACATGTCCACATTCCTTCCCCTTCTGTTAATCTTACCAAAGCACTTATTCTGGTACCCGTTCAATCCCCTTTGCACTTGATGTGCTACACTTCAGCTTCACCAGTGGAGCCTTTCGTCCCCTATGCCCACCTCAGCACCCTTTCACCTTCTCTAGGAAGTCCTCTTCTTGATTTCTAGGGAGATGAACTTTCGAGATCTCAAAAAGTAGTAAACTGAGTCACTGAGAGAAGACTCTGGGAAGGAAATGTTATGCATCAGGGAGATAATTTAGTGCAAAGAGTTTTTGTGCTTTTAAGGCTTACAGAAAAATCTAACCTAGAATTTTGTTATGAATCATAGCAGAAGCAAAGAGGACACCATACTGAAACCTGGGGTCAGTCCCAACCTTCAGCCCTTCTCTTTCTGTCCCCTGAGAGGAGGCTGTGAATGTGGGTTTAGGGCAATAAGTGGAGACAGAACACTTTGGTTTCAATCTCTTTCCACAAACCAAAACTCAAATATTTTCTATGTAATATTTTTCCTTTATAGAGGTAACATTTGTTCACAATACTTTATATGCTTTAGGGAAATAGATTCATACCTCCTCAGATAATGGCAGTGGTGGCAAGTCCATCCATGGGGAGATAAATGGTGAAGAGAATTTTACCCTGAAGCGTACAAGTCCCAGAATCTTGTCTATGGCAAATGCTAGATCCAACACAAACGGCTCCCAGTTTTTCATTTGCACAGCCAGACTGATTGGATGGCAAGCAAGTGGTCTCTGTCAAGGTGAAAGGGGACATAAATACTGTGAAAGCCATGGAGGGCTTCAGGTCCAGGACCAGCAAGAAGATCACCACTGCTGACAGTGGACAAATCTAAGAAATTTGATTTCTGTTTTACCTTAAACAGCAGACCATTCCTTCTGTAGCTCAGGAGAGCACTCTTTCATTCCCCATCTGCTCAAAATATCTTATAACTGTTATGCTCTCCATACAGATCTTAGGATTGCATATTTCCCTTATCCCCTTCTAAGTCTAGCTGGATTGCAGAGTTAAGTTTATGATTATGAAATAAACAATGAACAAGATAGAAAATAAAATTTAATTTTTCACACACACAAGCAAACAAATACACACAAACATACTAATTTGAAATAATAGTTCTAAATATTTTGTAAGTAAAAAGAATAGGAGGGTTTGCAATAGAACATTGAAATGTAAAACATGAATGATCAATGGTAGGCGCTGCTGGAATCAGGAACATGTAAATGATAACAGCACACAGCAAACAGGCACAAGACAGATACAATTGTAGCCTTTATTGTTTAATTCTTGCAGTAAATCAGAATTCCCAAGATATACTCATTCTCATAACATTGAGTAAAAGAAAATTCCTGAATAAAGTATTAGAAACTATTGTTGAATAGTGAACCTTCATCCTTGTATGACAAAATCCCTTAAAAGGTATTGTTGCAGGTGACGCAGGCAGTTGAGCACAGTGCTGTGAAGCTGTCTGCAGCCTCTGCAGTGCTGGTTCGATCCCCGCCGGCCTTGGAGCAACCCACATGGCGAGCCAGACCTCTCCTGTCTCGCCAGCTGCTCCCCTCAGTAGTGTATTTCATCAGTCTGCCTATTCTGTTCCCTGTTCTGTCTCTGGTGAATCCTCTCACCCTCCCGCGCCTCTGGCCTGTACCCCAGTTCTTGTATAAATAAAAAATAAATCTTAAAAAAAAAAAGGTATTGTTGTAAAAGGTTCTACAGAATCAAATGAAGAAAATAATGCAACAGACCTTTTGAAAGGTCCCCTCAGACATATGTTATTCAAGCTTACAAATTCTATTCAAAGCTTCTGTCAGTCAATAAATACCCCAGGGCTTCACTCTTCTTCGTAGCCGGCCATGTATTGGGTCTCTGGGCCTTCCCCCACTTGTGTAGGAGTTCTCAAAATATCAATAGTTGTTAAAAGTATACATTAGTTTGCTCTTATATGCTTTTTCACAAACCCTGCCTAGTCTTGGGGCGCTAAAAAACCCAAGGGAATGCAAATCTAGTCTGGAAAAAGGCATGGATGTGCCCTCCGTGAAGGAAATAAATTCATGAACAAAAAAAATCATACTTGGTGAAGGAATCTTTATCCACTCACTCAATAGATGTACCTGTGACATTGTCACAGTGCTGGGTGATCACACTTACTCAAGGTTGAAAATAGGGAGTTCATGGGAGATGATAATCCATTCCTGTAGGGCAGGGCCCGTGAATTTAATCCAGGAGATTTAGGTCCTTGTTAAATGTCAGGGTTTAACAGAAGCAGTTTGCTGGGCTGGGCTCATCAAGTTCCTTCAATCAAAGGCTCAGAAGTTAAGAGACAGGAAGCCCATGCCAGGATCAGCCTGAAGGTGGTCATGAAACATTTAGCTACTACTAGGGAGATTTTCTTCTCTTCATTTTTTTTTCTGTTTAAAAAGTAAGCTTAAAAATATTTCAGAATAGATTTAGATTTATAGAAAATCTGCAAATGTAGTATAGAGCATTTCCATATACCCGGCACCCAGTTTCCACTATTGTTCCCATCTGACATCCATTCATTGTTATTTAGTGAAGTAAATATTTACTCGTACTGTCTCTGTTTTAATCTAACATCCTTTTTCTGCCCCAGGACAAGCTTGTGATATTTATCTTATCTTGTTAGTAAGAAACTGGCTGTTTCTCAGACATTCCCTTAAAATTCTTCAGAAACTTTAAAACATTGTTTTAAACATCGTGTAACCAAAGGGCATCTAAAAAAAAAATCAAAAAGAAAATGTTGGGGGAGAAGTAGTTATATTATGGCTAGTCCAGATATCCAAATGGGTTCCTTTGCTAAAACTTGGAGTCAGAAATGAGGTTGAAAAGAGAGGATGGGCTGGGTGGGAGATTTTGATTTATCTTGAAGGTTTAGGCATTAGAGAGCCTAGGTTAGGAGGCTTAGGCTGGAACCCCAGGAGCAGCACAGCGGATGGGATTACTCGCAGCACAGGAGCACCCTTTGGACTCTGTGAGCCCTTACCACACAGACTGGGGAAACAGCCAAAGCCAATGACCCTGTCAGCTGCCCCCAGATACCTGCAGGTGGCTGGAGCATGCAATGAACCACTAGCTGCCCCTGCCCGACCCTCTCAGGACTTTCTGGATGCTTAACTCTGATATTGGTCATGCAACCAGGCACTCCCTGTGCTCTCACTGCAGCTGGTTCTAAATGAACTGGGATTAAGGAGATTTCTATGCACTTTTGAAGCTCACTGTTGAATAAACTTAGGAGAAACTTGATTGCAGAAACATGAAGAGATGACAAGGACGCCTGGGTGGCTGCTTCAATCCTTACCGCATCATCATTTTGTAGAAATGAGTATTATAAAATGTGCTGCAGCTCTGGAAACTGTATTTCTCTAAATATTCATATTCACATTTTAGACATCAATCTTGTTAGTTATATGTACTATAGTTAATAATCATAAAATTATCTATTAATTATACTCATTTTTAAATTACTTTTATACTAGTTCCTCTTTCCCTCTTCAGTTTAAATCCAAATTCTGCAACCTACCTTGAAATCAGGTAAACAAAGGCAAGAAAATTTGCCAGTCTATGGGGGGAAGGATAAAGAAAGAAAAAACTTGTAAGAAGGATCCATCATCCCACTGATTCAGATGTTTTATTGCCAAACATAGAAGATCATGGGAATGAAATTATCAAAGACATAGTAGAAGAAAATTGCAAAGAATTGAATGAAACACTAGTGTTGAAACAGCCCAGAGGATGCCAAATCAAATAAAGAATCTGCATGTTGGCATATAACTATGACATTGTAGAACATCAAGTAACATAGGCTATCAAGGGGAAAACAGGAAGATGCTGGAATGCCAAGGGAAGAAGCAGATACCCTCAAATTTTCAAGAAGAGAAAACAAGTCTTCCATGCGCAATAGGAACCAGCCTGCTCCTCCTAACCACTGTGGAGCCTCATCACCCAGATTTTAAATAGAAATTATCTTTGATTCACAAGTGGGTACACTGTCAAATGCAGAGTGGAAGTACTTGTAGACATAGTCTCAAGGCAGCTCAAAACCATCTTTCTCTTGGTCTCAGTTGATGTAACCCTTTTAATTAATAAAATTTGTTGTGGGACTTCCCTGGTGGCACAAGGGGTTAAGACTCAGCACTATCAAGCTGTCAGCAGCCACTGCAGCCTGAGTTCCATCCCCAGCCAGGAAGTTAACCTTACCACTTGGCGCAGCAGACCTCTCCAGTCTCTCCCCCTACTCCCCTCAGCAGTATATTTCAGTAGATCTGCCTGTTCTGCTCCCCACTCTGTCTCTGATGAATCCTCTCACCCCCTGAACCTCTGGCCTGACAGGAGAGGTCTACTGGGCCATAGCTCCATGGTGGGGATCAAACTCACCTATGGCCTACACCCCAATTCTTGTATGCATAAATACAATTTTTAAAAATCTTTTAAAATAAATAAATGAGTAAAATTTGCTGTGTATTAAATAGTATAAATATATATTCCATTTGCTCACGCTGTCTTAAGGATTATTTGTTTCTGTATTCACAAAGAAAGTGGGTCTGTAATTTTTCTGTTTTTGAATTGTTACCATCTGGTTTTGCTGTCAAATTAGTAGTGATTTCATGAAGTGAATTGGGAAGTGTTCCACTTCTTCCATGTTTCTGAAGAAATTGTGCAGAATTAATGGTCTTTATTTAAATAGTTAGTAGGATTCCTCAATGAATGTGGAGAGTGTGGATATTTCTTGAATCTTCAATTTCTTTAATAGAACAGGACTTCAATTTCCTTAAGAGCACAGAACTACTCAAGGTGTGTTTTCTCTGAGTTATGACTGTTTGTACTTTTTAAGGAATTGATCCATTTCATCTAAGCTGTCAAATTTGTAACACTCTGTATATTGGCCTATTTTTAGCACCTTTATTAAAATAACTGATTCGGGCCTCCCTTGGTGGCGCAGCGGTTGAGCGCTGGGCTGCGAAGCTGCCCGCAGCCTCTGCAGCACCGGTTCGATCCCCGGCCGCTGGCGGGGGTCCCGCATGGAGTGACAGACCTCTCCTGCCGTGCCCGCTGCTCCCCTCAGCTGTGTACTTCAGTCCTTCTGCCTATTCTGCTCCCCGCTCTGGCTCTGGTGATTTCTCTTACCCTCCTGCTTCTGACTGTACCCAGTGCTTGTATAAATAAATAAATAAATCTTTTAAAAAATAAAATAAAATAACTGATTCTAATTTTTTATCTGAAGATTGTTTTGGTTTTACACACATGATCATGTTTCTGAAAGGTACTGCTGTTTTTCCTCTAAATAACTACAGACATTTAATCTTTTTTCCTGTTTTATCAGAATGACCTGCAGCAGAGTTTGTTGAATGAATGATGGTGATACATGCAGTGCCAAAAGTGAGAGAAAGCATGGTGTGTGTGGTCATCTTGAACTCTAAGCCTAAAACTGAGGTTTAGGTTAAACCTGGCATCCTTGTCTCATTCTCTGGAGAAAAGCTTTCAGTATTTCACATTAAGTAAATCATGTAGTCCTCTTTATCTAATTCAGAAAGTCCTTTACATCTCTAGTCAGTTACTAGTGTTTCTTTTAGTTTTCTAAGATCACAAAAAGATGCTGAATTTTATCAAGCTGTTATTGGTGCATATACTAAAATAATCAAATTAGTATTCTTTTATCATGTTACTATGGTGAACTAAATTGATGGGCTCTGATGTGAAACAACTTTTACATACCTGG